TTTCACGATCACTGATTTTATTTTTATTTCAAGAGGAAACAATATTCTGCAATGAATCATTTTTAGTACATATAGTATTTGTATTAATTAATGTGTTGTTACATATTACTTAACAGCAAGTCATATAAAGGAATACTGAGCAACATTTACTGATGCTCCTTTTATATCAGAGATGTGACATTATTTCCACAATTACAGCAATTTAAACTGGAAACCAGACTTTCACTGTCCACTTCAGGTCTTTCTTGCCTGTTATTGAGGACAGCTCTGCATATGTACAACTAAGGATGTAGTCTTATCTCAGCCTTCCTAGCAAGTGGCCCTTAAGTAAACATTAAAAGAAAATGTACTCCTTGATGAAAAGTGGTAACACCAGCCAGGGGCATTCAAAGCCAGTTTCGGCCTGCTCTGAGACCAATTTTAAAATGAGAATCTGCAACATGTCTGATAAAATAGATGAAATATTAAAACTTGAAGCAGTGTGAAGAATATCTTTGCACATCCAAGCATTTCAAATGGCTAAATTTTTCCAAATATGCCATGAAGCAATAATGGAAGCACCCATCTTTTTAGGTCTTTGGGCATTTTGATGTTTTTTTTTCAGTTACATATAGAGATGATTTATTGGCTGTCATGACTAGAAATCATATATGAACAGTGGTCTGAGAGTTAGGCTAGTGCAAGGAGCATTGATAAGCAACAAAATATTAATGAACATATCCCTCCAGCAGTAAGCAGATTTAAGGGAAGTACAAATGATTGCTCTGGGTTAGTCCTGGAGTACTATTTAATTAGTTGGATGCTTCTAATGAGATAACTTATTATGGCAGTACTCGGTTCCCCAGGCTGCTAACATAGGTTATTTCATCGAGTTCTTGAGGCTCCCAATGAAACACTGGAAAAATGTCAAAAGTTTGACCTGGGTAGACCAATATTCAGTCATCTGAATGCCTTTGGAAACCACTGGGTTCCGGCTCCAAAATGGAAGGATATCAATACACAGAAACAGACATGTTATTTTATTCAAATAATAATAAAAAAAGTAAATAAAAGCTAAAATAGTAAAGCCACATCAAAATATAAAATTGATGACACTTGCATTTTACCCACAAAAATTGTGTCCAATTTTGTCTAGCGTACAATACCTGTATCCAAGCTGCTCAAGAAAGGACAAAGCAATTTCTTTGTAGAATTATGATTCAAGTCACTGGATCAATCACTATCTTGCTGCAGTAATTTTATGCCTTTGTCTTATTTTTTAATTGCCATAATAATATTCATTTAGTATCTAACATGTCATAAATTTAGATTCTACTTACTTTTGTAAATCTGAGAGCAGAAGGCTATTTGATTTAGTGGGTGGAAAACCAGATGGCACTGGTTTAAGATTAACAAACCTCAAGTGACCTTCGAGATTACAAGGATATTTTCCCAATACAATATTAATATTTACAATATATTATATAATTTATACAGGATAGAGTATGCAAAACTAGAGTAACCTTGACACTACACACTATGAAGCTCTTTGATATATTTTGACAATATGATAAGGTGCCATATCAAATGCGAGGATTATTATTGGAGTACGTTTTTCTATTTTCTACCTGTTATAATGCCAACGGTTTGAATGCAAGTTCCGCATCTACCTGAAAACAATTTCCATATCAAATAGTTTGAATAATGCATTAATACTATACATTTTGAAAGCTATTTTCAGTAAATTGAGTTCATATAAAATCTTGACACTGTCACAATCTCACAATCCAACCAGAAGAACCGATTTTCAATTATTTGCTCCAATACAATACAACTTCAAATGTATTCAAGCATATTATTCAACAGCATTTTACGTTTCTATAGCGCCTTTACAGTGGAAGGATGTCTCAAAGCACTTCATACAACTGATTGAGAGCCTGAGCTGTGGGGGTGGGGTGGGAGTGAGGGGAAGTGCCTGAAAATGTGGTCAAAGGGTAGGTCTTAATGTGGTATTTGAAGTCTGGGAAGGTGGGAGCAAGGTGGTGTACTTTGCGATCGAGTTCCATCAATCTTGCCCACGATAATAATAATAATCCTTGCATTTGATATAGCGCTTTTCACTTCGGGAGGACGTCCCAAAGCGCTTCACAGAACACACTGTAAAGTGAATTGACTGTATATTTGTGGGCGAACGCGGCAGCCAATTGCGCACAGCAATGTCCCACAAACAGTCGTAGATTGAAAATGACCAATTTATTATTGTTTTGGGTTTTGGAGGGATTATTATTAGGCGTGTGGAGTAAGGAAACTTGCCCAAGGTGTCGCCCTGCCTGGAATTGAACTCAGGTCTCTCGCTTGCAAAGTGAGTGCTTAACCACTGAGCTACAGGACTCCACAATGGAGTGGAATGGGATGAGGTGGGGTGAGTCTGGTCAGGTCAGGCAGGGGAATGGATTTGAAAGTGAATAAAGGGATATTGAATTTGAAGATGGGGAGCTAAGGGAGGATAGGGCTTGCGGAACCTAGTGCAACGGCTCATAAGCATAACCCTTCTGAAAAAAATCAAACGCACTTGCTCTATGATGACTGATTTGCTCGCATTAACACATAACGATTTATTACAATATATGCTACAAAGAAAATATTGTATCTTAGCATTTGAAATAATAACAGCAATATATAAAAAATGTTGGCATCATCATTTCTCATCTGAAACAACAGATTGAATGAAGTATTTATGCACAAATGTATTTTCTCATTTCTAATTAGAATCAAGCACCCATAGGAACTAGTTCAATAATAAACTGGAATCTAACATTATTAAGTAGATCTATCCTGAAGGAGCAGAAACCTTGCGGGTGTATAGTCAATCACATTGCAAAGATTTTTATATTTTAATGAAATTTAGCAGCATAGGGGAATTGGGGAACCAGATATGGCTCACCTTATATATTCAATATGAACCATATTAATCCACTTGTCATTTATGTTTTTATATAGATAAAATTGTCTTAACATGAAACAAAACATTTCAGTTCTGAAGAATTAAACATACAATGCCTCACAGAATCCCCTCCCTCCGTGAATTTCCAAATAAGCAATTGCTGTAGTTGCAACTTGTTAGCAAATTTGAAGCCATAAACAAATTTAATGGAGATTTGGGGAACTGGTAAGTAAGGCCTAGCTGATGACTTTGAACGATACACAGATAAAGTGAATTGCAATTATTCTTTACCTGGGTATGTGTCAAACACTCTTCAGAAAAAATCTCTTTTGCAAAAGGCAATAATTTCCAGAGTTTGATTTTGGGTAATATCTCAGGATGTCTTCATTGAACTTTTATAACAGCAATAAGTAGGTGACTTAGTTGAACTGACATTTTAGTTGCTCCCTGGTTTGTTGCCTTTGCAATACACAAGAGATTCTGTTACAACTCGTGTATATGCTATAACCAGGCACAAATTCTGAAATTATCACATTTGAGAACCGATCTGTAGATGGTAACCATCAACTAACAAAAAACAATACATATTTGGGTTTATCCCAGAAGTGAAAGTCTCTTTCTTAAATTCCAGAGTTAGTTGTCTTAATAGGGAACTTTCACTTGAAGATTGATATAAATTCTAACATGGATTGCAATGAGCCATATCTAAGCGCTGTGGGACGCTACCCGGCATGAAGGGTACTATATACATGCAAGTTGTTGTTGTTGCATCGTAACAAGAGAAAATAACAAAAAGGGGCTGCAAAGTAGGTATAATGATTGTATATCAGCATTAGCCATGGAGGGGAGTTCAAACATAAGGCGACAACATTAATAAATACTAAAAATGGCAAATGTTGGAAATATGAAATAAAACACCAGGAATATGAAATAGAAATTGTGTTTGAAATAAAACATAATAATCCTTGCATTTGATATAGCCCCTTATCACGCCTTTGAGACGTCTCAAAGCACTTCACAGAATATACTGTCAAGTGAATTGACTGTATATTTGTTGGAAATATGAAATCAAAAAAAACAATAACGTGGGAAAATATAAAAATAAAATGCGATAACGTTGGAAATAAAAAGCGTAGGTTTTAACAGGGCTGGAAATCCAAAAATAAAAACTGGTGCGAAACGACGAAATAAAAGAACTAAAATACTGAAAAGCCCGACAGCGAGACAGGTGTTTGACAGAAAAGGAACAAGTTGAAGTTTGAGGCTCTGGGGTGAGGTGGGTGGGGGTGGTGGGGGGGGGGTGGGGGGGGGTGGGGGTGCTGGATAGCCAGAAATTTAAAAATATGTTTGTAGCCCAAAGTCAACCAAAACACTATCCCAAAAAGTGTGGTCTCCAACAGGTAGCAGCAGATTGCACTTCAAACTGTGTAAGAAAAGGTCTTCAGAGGTGGTGGGGGGGGGGGGGGGAGGGTGGTGTGGGGGGGGGGGAGGGGGGGGGGGTGGTGGGGGGAGGGGTGGTGGTGGGGGGGGGGGGGGGGGTGGTGGTGGTGGGGGGGGGTGTGGTGGTGGGGGGGGGGGGGGGGTGGTGGTGGGGGGGGGGGGGTGGGGTGGTGGGGGGGGGGGGTGGGGTGGGGGGGGGAGGGTGGTGGTGGTGGGGGGGGGGAGGGGTGGTGGTGGTGGGGGGGTGGGGGGGGAGTTTTTTTTACAGGTTCAAATTGCAATTATAAGAGTATAAAATACACGGGTCCGTTGCTGGAAACCTGCAATAAAAACAGAAGTCGCTGTGAACACTGAGAGCAACAGCGCAAACCCAACCCATTGACCCGCTGTGGCCCAGTGTGTTTGGGGGGCGGGCGAGGGGACGGGGGCGGGGCGAGTGGGCGGGGCGGAGTGAGTGGGCGGGGCGGAGTGAGTGGGCGGGGCGGAGTGAGTGGGCGGGGCGGGGGGAGGCGGGGTAGCAGTTTGACACCTCCGGCTGCTGGTTTTGGCGCCACAAGTGATTGACAGGAGGTGGGGCGCGCGAGGCAGTGACCGTTAGACCGGGAGAGAGGCAGAGAGGGAGCGCGCGCGCGCGCGGCTTCCGGCTCGAGCCTTCACATGGCGGAGGGTGAAGCCCAGGTCCTGGTGTTGGCTGTGGAGCGGTACCTGAGGGACCGCACGGGCCCGGGCCCGGGCCCGGCCTCGGGCTCCGGCTCCTCCCTGTACGATGTGACCGTGACGGGGCTCGGGGTCCCGGTCAAAAAGTACCTCCTGTCACCGCAGCTGAACCGCCTGGTGCAGAGGAACCTGCTGAGCTCCGGCTGCCTCCTGAGGGTCAGCCGCTTCTCGGCGCTGCCGAACGGGGTGCCTGTGATCGAGAGGGCCGAGGCCCTGGGAGCAGCCTCCCCGGCTCCCGCTGCCGGGCTGCCCGCCTCCCTCCCGGGTTCGCGCCCTTTAACCACCTGCAGACGGCACTACCTGCCCCTCTGGGGCGACAGTGATTATTACGGGGAGGAGTGGAGGGCGATGGGCTGCGAGCAGGAGGATGTCAGCACTGAAGGTGACCACAGCCGCAACCTGCATTCATAATAATAATAATAATAATAATAATCCTTGCATTTGATATAGTGCTTTTCACGTCGGGAGGACGTCCCAAAGCGCTTCACAGAACACACTGTAAAGTGAATTGACTGTATGTTTGTGGGCGAACGCGGCAGCCAATTGCGCACAGCAATGTCCCACAAACAGTCGTAGATTGAAAATGACCAATTTATTATTGTTTTTAGTTTTGGAGGGATTATTATTAGGCTCTGTGTGGAGTAAGGAAACTTGCCCAAGGTTTCGCCCTCTGCCTGGAATTGAACTCAGGTCTCTCGCTTGCAAAGCGAGTGCTCTAACCACTGAGCTACAGGACTCTTTTGGTCACTCAGTCCACGACTGTTTTGGGACACTGCTGTGCAAAATTGGCTGCAGCGTTTTCACCCACAAAATATACAGGCAATTCACTTTACAGAATACTCTGCGAAGCGCTTTGCAACGTCTCGAAGACGTGATAAGGCGCTATATCAAATGCAAGGATTGCTATTATTGTTGCTACTGTTTATTGTAAAAGCTACGAGTACTTTTATTTATGAGCTGCTAAACTAACATGATTATCATTTAGTCATGGAAATGACAGGACACGTCCTATGCTCGTTGTATATGTGCAAAGGGTTGTCATCCCACCCTATAGCACCGACGTCAAACTGATCAACTGCAACATGATTTTTTATTTTGCAAAACTGAAGAAAGAAACTCACCCCCATGCACTTTTCTAAGCACAAATGCTTTGTATGTGTTTGGGGACAGACAAGAGTCCAGTGTTTGCCAACCAAAACTTGTTGCAGAATAACACAAACTTTCTTAATGGACCCTTTTCCAGCGTAGGTGGTCATCAGAAGGTTATGGGTTCCAAAGCCCTATGAGATTTTGAGCTCATGGTCCTATGAGTCATAGGACTATGAGCTCAAAATCTTCATCAGAACAGTTCTGACGAAGGGTCGTGGACCTGAAATCTTGACTCACTTTCCTTTCTCCATATACGCTGCCTGACCTGCTGAGTGTTCCCAGCGACTTCTGTTTTTGTTTCACATTTCCAGTATTTTGTGTTTTGTTTTAACAAAACACAGATTGCTTTGTGCTCATTTTCCAGTTGTAACAAAATGATCTTTATGATAATGGCCTCTAAACATTCTGGGACGTAAACTACAACAGAAATTCTGTTGATTTCTCACAACGTTTTTGATACAAGACAAAATAGAAGCACCCAAAATTTCTCCAAAGAAGGAAATACAAATTAATTTCTGCATACATTGTGTCACTTGTACACAGAATTATTTTCCCTATTTGTATACAATAATATACGGGGCCGGAGGAAAAACTGGCTTTTGCAGGTTAATCTGTTGGTGATTGATCCAAATGTAACATATACATGGCACCTCAAAACCTTTCTAACTGATTTGTACAAAGTCCTAGTCTAACAGTCTTCATTAAATTAACTTTCATAACCTGTCACTGGAAAGGGTGAGATTTTATTCAAAACATACGGGAATATATTCTTTGAATTTGATATAGTGCCTCACCCATCATTGAGACATCTCAAAACACTTCACAGGTCCCAGTGTTCTGCAATGCAATAACTTGTTTACTTCTGACTTGACTGTCAAATTTAACACATCTGAATCTTATTTTCCAGCTTCCTGGTTAACTCTTCTGTTTCTTCTTACTTTATTAATTTACAGGTCTAAAGATAATCACTCTAAAGGAGCTGGAGATGACTTGGAAGGGAAGGTGGAAGTTACCCCCATTATTGGTGAAAGTCATGTACAAATCCAGATTACGGCATTATGGAAAACCTTGCAAAAATGTTGATTGGCCTTATCAGGCAAGTGATTATCCTGTGCACTATTGAATCTTTAAGTTAAGCTTGTTGGGTGAGTATGAAATAATAGAAGCCTCTAATTTTAAGACCAAAAGTAACTACCAACATTTGTATGAAACTTTTAAATCCATTTTTCTACTAATTATATACCGCACAATGTTACCAGGAATTTAGTAAAGTGTACCAGTGTGGGTGTAAAACAGTCATGTTACTGTACAACCTCTTAACTGTAAACACTCAGCTGTACCATAATAGATTCTAAACTTGTATCTGTATGGGCAATTTTGAGTGATGTTACGCTATGATAAAGTGATGGAAGCAACATGAGATTCTACGTTAAATGGTATTAGATTTTGTGGTGTTTTTCTTATTGCTTCTGTTGTTACTGACGGCCATAATCTGGTTGCAGGCGGGCTAAGATCTTAGATTGATAAATCTAAGGCAGAAAATAAAATAAGGTTGCAATTTGCATGCGTAGTTGTTTCTGTATTGCCTCTGATGCAGTAGATTCCTAAAGTGTTGCACCTGCATATATTGTGCAGCAGCTTTAGGTCACACATGTGTTGTCACCTTAGATTGTATGAGGTTTTATTTCACTCCTGTTGCTCTGGTATGATGACAGCAGTTCTATGGAACTCATTATGTCCAAGATTATTTAGGAGCCTGGAGATTGGAACAGTATTACTTATACAGCAGTATGTTGTAAAAGATGGATATCAGAAGCGGACTCGGCCTGTTTCATACTACCCGGAGATAAAAATCTGCAATGAAATTGGTAATGAGAAAGTGTTTTGTGTTGTAGCTATAATATCTATACTATTAAAGACGAAATGTCTGTGCGTGTGTGTCTGTCCGCCAATTACGCAATAACCGATTAATGTAGAGACATGATTCATACCTCATCGGAAAGATCTTGCATGGGGGAATGTCATGGGCGTATGTTTTTGGGGGCGGGATGTCCTAGCGTTGATGAACAATGACCTAAACAAGCTCATCACACATGTATGGCAGTTTTGCTTAAGGTGTGCACACAGGGTTTATAGCACATAAAATGGTTTGTGAGTGGTATCACTGAAAACGCCAGCACTAAAAATGAGCATTAATAATAATAATAATAATCCTTGCATTTGATATAGCGCTTTTCACGTCGGGAGGACGTCCCGAAGCGCTTCACAGAACACACAGTGTAAAGTGAATTGACTGTATATTTGTGGGCGAACGCGGCAGCCAATTGCGCACAGCAATGTCCCACAAACAGTCGTAGATTAAAAATGACCAATTTATTATTGTTTTGTTTTGGAGGGATTATTATTAGGTGTGTGGAGTAAGGAAACTTGCCCAAGGTTTGGCCCTGCCTGGAATTGAACTCAGGTCTCTCACTTGCAAAGCGAGTGCTCTAACCACTGAGCTACAGGACTCCACGCATACAGAAATGATATAGCCAGTATCTACAATCGTTGATGAGATAATTCCAATATATGTGTTATTGTAACATATGAGAAATATGTGACGTCAGATGTAACACTGTCTGTACGAGTTCAATAGTACATTTTCTTAAGATGCCCAAGAAGTAAAGACAAATAAATATGCCAGACAAAATACAGAAAAACAATTAAATTAAACTGAAGAACAAAGAACAGCACAGTTGGACTTGGACCACAGAAAAGCATGCAAGAACACGGCAAAATGAATTGCCCGCTCAAAGAAACACTCTGCTGGACTTCAATGCTGAAAGGACTGCAAGAGCACCGCAAAATGAGTTGCTCTCTTAAAGAGCAGTTTGGCTGGACTTGGATGGAAAAAGACATGCAAGAACACAGCAAAATGACGCCCAGCAGCAGAGGTCACTCCAGTTAGCTGCAAAAGCAAAATTGACAACTTGTGAACCAAACAATTGGCAAAGTTCTGAACTGTATCTGAATATCACAGAAGATCATTTTAATATTTTAATTTGTCCGAAGGCAGAATGTCATCACTCAACTTGCATGGGAAAGAGGAAATAGTACACTATTAGTAATTCTGGAGGGTTCTGAATGAAAGTGCATATCCACGCACATGGAAATGACTGAAGTATACATCAGTATTTGCTGATATATTTTGCCCACAAAATATAGTCAATTCATTTTACAGTATATCCTGTGAAGCGCTTTGAGACGTCTCAAAGACATAAGGCGCTATATCAAATGCAAGGATTATTATATATCATATAAAAAGGTGAAAAGTTGACATTCATACAAAGCCTCTTTTCAATGGTGGGGAGAGAGAGTCATCAGTGGGATCATTGGCTGAATTTTCTTTTTCTTCCCATCTGCTAGGTGCTGAGGTTCCTATTGGTGTTCTGCTTAAAATAATCTTAATTCAGCACAAACTAGAACCTGAACAGCTTCACAGAGCTTAGTACCACACTGGCATTTACTTACAGAGTCATTGGGTTGCTTTTCAGAGTGCACTATGTTGAATAGAAAATCTTTGTAATTAATAGCTCATTTGTTTGTTGTAGACATTTCTTTGAACTCTCAGAAGCCAACAGCTGATATCAAGATTATTCCACAGAATCAAGTTAAACCTGAGTGGAGGCTACCAGAGATTAAGTATCACTTTATTACAAGGTAACTGACCAGAACTTTGCCTCTCTACAGTTGTACTCATGATACCTAGATTAAAAAAAATACCATTCACATTTAGTAGTCACAGAGCAAAGTGTTAAAACAGCCACAACAGTTTTTGAAAGGGTATTAGATACATGGTATCATCTAGCTGGCAGCCACGTTGGCCTACGAAATACAGTCGCTATACTTTAAATCCTTCAAAATCTGTCTTGCTCATTGTAGTATTATATTAATTTTTTGAAGAGTTTGAATTTGGGCCTTCTAAATGAATTCTGATTTTGGTCAAATAATTTAGTAATATTATCTACCCTTGGTATCTACCCTTTGTGGAGTCCTGTAGCTCAGTGGTTAGAGCACTCGCTTTGCAAGCGAGAGACCTGAGTTCAATTCCAGGCAGGACGAAACCTTGGGCAAGTTTCCTTACTCCACACGCCTAATAATAATCCCTCCAAAACCAAAAACAATAATAAATTGGTAATTTTCAATCTACGACCGTTTGTGGGACATTGCTGTGCGCAATTGGCTGCCGCGTTCACCCACAAATATACAGTCAATTCACTTTACAGTGTTCTGTGAAGCGCTTTGGGACGTCCTCCCGACGTGAAAAGCGCTATATCAAATGCAAGGATTATTATTATTATATTATTGGTGAATATTAAAGTAAAATTAGTCACGGTTTCCAAGGTTTGTTTTAATTACTGTATTTGTGCAAATTAGTATACAATGTGTGTGATTATAAGATTTGTATTCAATAAAGAATTCTGCTGTTTAATTCAAAATACTGTATATAATCAGGGAATATTTGGCTGAGACTTTTTACATTTTGAATATGGTACTTTTGCAAATCCTTAATTTCATTCATAAAGCAACATATTTTTTGTTTCCAGGAATAAACTGGAGACACTGCCTGATAATTATACTTGTGATGTCATAGGCCTTGTCACCTTTGTGGGCAGATGTGAAAGAATCAGAAAGACAGGTATAATGTTTGTAATGCTCATTTTAAAAAATATATAGTATTAGCAAATGCTAACAGCCATGAGCTATTTAAAGGTTTCTCTTTTAAAATGCATTATCTAGATGATGAGGATTTTTGGATTCGACGGTTTGTTGAGATGGTGGATGAAACCAGTGAAAAACCATTTATTTTGGAGCTTTATTCGACTTCCCAGCCAGAAATTCATGAGAAGCTTCACCCAGGTATTGAATATTGTTTAAGTTTGTCAAATGTATATTTCTTCCTAATTTATGTTCTGCATACCATATTGTTGCTGAAACGTAAATTAATAAGTGACCTTTTATGTTTGACAGCTGGCCACCTAATACAGGATTCCCCTCAATATGGAGAACATCTCTGGTCTTTTTAATTTACTTTCTGCTTTCTTGCTATTGGACTTTATCTGATGCAGCAAGCTTCGTAAGATGTAGAGCGTTTTTTAACACCTGACTACCGACAGACCAGTGAAATTCTGTGCTCTGTTATTAATAATACATTTTTATTTAGGTGCAAGGAGTAGCTTTATTACTGTATTATTGACCTTCTACTTCTAAAACACACTATTAGTGCAGATCACATAGGTTAATGGAATGACTACTCTGTTGCAAAATATAGTTTTTTTTAACAGTTGAATGTTGTTTATTTGAACAATAAACACTGTTTGCATAAGTGATGTTTTACTCTTTCTTGGGATGTGGGTGACGCTGGCAGGTCCAGGATTTACTGTACATCCATAGTTCATATTATTTAGATAAATCAGCAAATAAACTGTATACAATTAAATAATGATATACCCAGGGAAATGTAGCTGGTTAGTTTGGATGGACAGTTTCATGTGTCCCTGTCTTAAAAGAGTTTGCTGCAGATCCTGTTCTTGATAATATGTAAAATAATTTGTATAATATTTAAATCTGGAAGGGATAAACATGTTAAATCATGTAAACTGACTATTGTGTTTCAACAAATGATCTGACACTTCAAAAGTTAACTGAAGTAATGTAAAACAAAATTGTAGTTTGATATGGGGATTACATTGTTCTTTGTGGAGGGGTGCAAAGATCAGAAAACAATTGTTTACTTCCTTTGTTATCTTTTTATCAGTGACCTTCTTAGTGTGTACTCAGATGAGAATTATTGGAAGCAATTTGCAAACTGGAAAACCCATTACTTATTTAACTTCATCCAGTGAGACTCAGATTTACGTTACAGGTAAGTAGTAGTTAAACAAAACTATGCTTTTGTACAAACATAGTATGATATCAGCATCCATTGTGGGTATAATTTGAACTAATGTACGAAACCGAAAATCCTGGAAATACAAGGTAGATTCTTCCCCTTCTGTTTTGCATATAGTTGCAGTCTCTCCCTCACGTAATCCAAGCCCAATTATCTCCCTTCCCACAGTGCCAGCCTTTTTTTCTCCCATGCCCAATGTCAATCTTTCTCCACCTGTCTTTTTACTGTCTTTCTCTCCAGTTCCCTCTCTTGCTGACTCACCATTCTCTTTCCTTCCTCGCCAGTACCAGACTCACTTACAAATACCATGCTGATCTTCTCTCTTCCCCCACCCTCTTTCTCTTCCCCAGATCTCCCTTACTAGGAATCTAAGAAATGTCAGGAAAGGACTAGAAGCAGTACTCACTCTGCCTGGTGGTTTACAGGTGTCAGTTCCCATATGTGTTGGTGCTGGGAATGGGCCTCAGGGTTTCACCACTGCTGACATCTGGGTCCTATCTGCTGATGGACCTCATACATGGTTCCTGCTTGGACTTGGGGAAATTCTAAACAGTTTATTTTTAGCCATGCTATTTTTGTGATTCTGATGGAGAAAGGTCACTTGAATGAGATACAGGAGGGTGGCTAATGCCCATGAAATTATACTCCATTCATAATTATATAAAGCATACATTTTCCCATTGTCACTTATGAAACAGACACATAATTATACAGGCTATGGATGTTGAACATTTCTTTATCTGTGATTGCAAAATAGAATTTATTTCAGAAGTGCAGGCATAGAAATTAAAATATATGTTGAACTATGGTGACAAATCAGAAGCAGTTATCCAGTCAAAGATGGTGATAACATAAATGAAAAGAATTTGACAAAAATCGATACCATATTGAATAAGTGCAATTTAGAAGTGAATTCGTGGTCAGCTGTGTGCAATGCTTTGAGTTATCATACTGATATGAAAGATGCTTATTTAAATGTAAATTGCTGTTGAATTACTTTCAAATACCAGACTTTTAGTTTGTAATTTGTTTTCCTATAAATCTTGATTACTTTTTAAAAAGCTCTGAATAACTTACTTTTAAATGATAAAGCAATTTATTTTTTAAGTTCTTTCATTTTGAAATATGGTGTAATTGCATGTGGGTTAGATGGATATGAAAAGAACATCATTTTTATTTATATCTGAAAGTTAAGTTAAACTTATTTTTTGGTGGTCGTAATTTTATTCATTTTTTCTCAATTTTCTTACTCCTTCCATTTTCTGAAAATGCTGATTCATCAACAAAAGCTTACATTAATATAGTGCCCCTCACATAGAGTAGGATCCCAGAGTGCTTAATTCCTTTGCTAGAGTATAATTTCATGGGCACCAAGCCCCCTCCTATATCTCATTCTAGTGATTGTTCTTTATGAACTCAGAAGGTGAAGCTCAGCAGACCCTCAGTAAGCATCACAACTGTACCCAATTATGTCCCCAAGAGACATCAATCAATATGTACTTTTCCAGCAGGGGTAACATGGTTTGCCGTCAGTGCTGGATAAATGTTAATGTGGAATACAATGCCTCAAATAATATTTGTAAATATATGTTGTTTACAGGTTATCACAAGGGGAGGCCTTACACAGCTGACAGTCGAGTCAAAAGATTTATTCAGTGGGCAAAATCACAGCAAGAGAAGGATTTTCTGGAAAGAGCTTTTGTCGGAGGACACTATTCTTTCCCTCTTCTCCCATCAAGTTTTCGGGAATACAGTCAAAGCATAAAAGGTATAGGTTGAAAAGTATTCCTTTATTAGAGTTAATTGTTTTTAGAGAAACAGTTTTATTTCATGCAATTACATGTTTTCAATCTACCATTCTTCAGCAGCGGCAGGTAGTCTAAATTTCTGGGACCTATTATGATTGTTTTCAACCACGAAAAAAAAATACAAATATTGGAAGAACAAAATATCTTCTAACTTTGACATTTGAAAATCTGTACGTTGCAGCATTCTTTGAAACCCATATATAAGTACATGATAGATAATTTTTTTTTACAACTTACAATTTTCCTTTATTTAAAAAAATAGATTATAACATCAGGACTGCTATTGCAGTGAAGAGTGGGAGTAATCAAAAAATATTAAACCCAACTGAGGCCTAAAATTCCACTTAGGTGACCTTGGACAGTGTCAGATAGATCTCAAAGAATTTGGAAGGGAGATATCTGAAGTATCTAAAAATGAGGACTGGATCCTTGAAATTGAGCTAGAGGAGGACAGAGAAATCAGAGAAGATGGAGTTGAGAAACTTATTCTGTTACGTAACATAATTGCACAAAGTTCCTTTTTTTGAGTTTTCATACTTTCCTATGTTGAATGTGATTTATACTTTTTCCACATAATTCTTTCATATTCTTTCCACATCATAGAGATCACTCTCACGTCAATGGGTGAGGTCAAAGAAAAAATAGAAAGTCTAAATTATAAGGAACATAAACGTTTAGTCGTTCAAGGAATTATTACTTCTGTCAGATATAATTCCCCTTCTCCGTCAGCTGAATGCTTAACAGACAAAGAGCACATTCAGGTATGCAGTTTATCTGTGGACCCTCTCTAAATTTTATGTCTGTTGCTATTTTTGTTTGGAAACATAAATGATGTTTAAAATACTGTCCATGGAAGTTGTATTTTCCACACCAGTTTCCTAGAACCAAAGATTGTAATTTTTTTTATTAAACTCAGTGGCGATGTTGAAAATATTTGCAGTGCAATATCCAAGATATTTCGACCACTAACACAAGCAAATAGTGCCTTGAATAGATGTTATACATTCACTACACTCTTGAAAGCCACAAAAAATGTGTTAATTATACAAAGGGAATATGGATGGAAATGTGTTAACTGTTGTTCAAAACTTTCAAATAAAAAGTTTTTAAGAGTATTTTAAACCCCCTAAATTACATTCTGTTGTATATTTCTGAACCTCTTTTTTCCAAAATGATTTTACACTTGATTGTTAAACTTCTCAGATTTTGCCAACAGTTTGCATTATGTTATTGTCATTTTTTGTTGCTGATTTGATCCATGATTTCACATCACATTTCCTGGAGAAGTAGTTTCACTGGAAAATAATTGTAATCTTCCCATTCAATAGGGGTATGGTTTACTTAAAAAGCATTTTTTATTTTATCCACCTAACCCTTTATATGGAGGGATGCTAGTTTTTTTTTATTTTCATCATAAAGGTAAAATAAACATCAATATTGTTTTCGAATATTTTAGTGATCTTTTCTACTTCAAAAAATAATATTCTATTAGTAAGGTTGTATTGGATGGAAGTGATTTTTGAGGCATTGCTCACTCATACAGTAGCTCCATGTGTTGTGACCAAATGTTTCAATCGAGCAAGGTGCTTCATTTTGTACCGTAGTGCTTAAAGGAATAAGTTGGAAAGTCCTGAGAGAAGAGAAGTTATTTGGCAGTGGCCCTCGGTAAATTTGTAATATCTCAACAAATTCCATATTGAAGATATTTAATATGTATTGAAATGTTATTCCTGAATAGAACTAGGTAATGCGTACAATTCATCTTTTTCTTATTTACATATTTATCAAATTGGAACAAAAGTATTACAATATTTGTTTTTACTATTTAAAATATTTTCAATGATGTTAAAAATAGATGTTAGACAGTGATAAACGTAACTAATTCAAAAGTTAGCATAATGTCTTATCTCTCTCCCTAAAAAAGTATAGATGTAATAAAGGGAATGAAGAGCAGAGCAAAAAAAGAAAAGTAATGCAAATCAAGTAGGTATACAAAATTTTATTAACAATTAAACCTGTACAGAGATACTTTACTTCTGTATTTTGGTATTTTTCTGTATTCTCATTTTTAAAATCAAGCTAAGTGGTGCTTCTCCACTAATGGCTCAGGGGGTAAATGCACTATATGTTATTGTGTTGAATCTGGTTGAGTTTGTTTGCTTGTCTGTCAAATTAATTGATCTCAGCTCAGGCAGAACATTTATTGGAGGCTTGGTAGTTGATTTCTGTCTCCCCAGGTTAGGCACATGTGATGTCAAACTACCTATCATCATCATTTATTGGTTCCTGCTAGAAGTGTATGCAGAAACAATCAGGGTTAGCCAGAGTCAAAATTCCAAAACTATACGTGGGTATTTGGTGATTCTCTTTTATGCTCCCTTGGTTCACCCATTTTGAGAGCAAGGAACTGAATTTCACAGTTTGGTTTACAATAGACTCAACATTGTTAATAAGATGCGAGTATTTTTGTCTATGTTGAATTGAATATTAAGTAAACTTGAAACATTCATGAATTTTGTATGTAATTCTATGGTTAATTGGGAAGAAATCTAAGTAAACAAAGAAAAAACTAAACTGATATTTTTGCTGTGACAGATCTGGACTTTCTGAACCTTCTCACAAATCCATCAAGGAAGAACTTGTTCCTAATCCAGATCAATTGTCCAGTAGTGAAGAAACAGAAGAGGAATATATACTGCTGATGAAGGTGTGCTTAAATATGGACATTTTTCTTACCATTATTACTCCAAAAACAGTGAACAATGATATTCCACAACATTAAGTAAATATATTCATATTTCCTATTTTTCATAGTTTATCAGTACTATGTGAAAGTTCTTTCAGAATATTTTAATTTACTGTAGCTTATCCAACTTTCTGCTAAATTTTAATTAAACTACATGTGAACTTTTAGAAGACCTTAGTTAGGACAAAGTTGGAATATAGTTTTGGGCATCCCATTGTAGGAAGGATCTAAATGCAATGAAGAGAGGCCGATGTAGATTCACTGGGATGTTTCCAAGATAGGAGTTTTCAGTTACGAATAGATTTGAACCTGTTTTAATTGATGTCATTTAGTGTGATGCAATTTGGGAAAATAGCGCAAATAATGAGGTTAGACACAAAAGAAAACAGGATGATGGAGAGGGATTTAAATAGTCTGCATAGTATGGGAACCTGGCTAATTAGAATCAGAAGCTAAGTGTGTAGCATTTCTGGTTAGCCCAAGTCCACAGGAGACCTACAGTTTAAATGAGACCATGTTTTATCGAAGGGAGCTACAATGGGGTTCCCCTACGTTAGTTTTCTTCAGAGTAATTACCATATCTTCTAGAACTAGTGTCTAACTTTGTTGTAGCCCAGCAGAAAGCTCGATTTCACGTTGCACTTACTGAACACTTTTCACATAGGATGAACGTCTTGAAATGTTACACAGAAACAATAGGGAGCAGGAAAGATAATTTAAGGATGTTTGTCAAAGGCATGATCAAAGAAGTTTTTGAGAGTGTTTTTAAGCAGGAAGAGAAACAGCAAGTTGAAGTGATTTTGAAAGAACTTTCACAGACCAATAAATACCATTGTAAGGTAGAAGCTCAATCTCTGATATGTAGTACTTAGTGCTTCAAGAAAATGTGTTAGTATATAAATGATGCTCATACATTAGCATAAACCAGTATTACTATACAATCCTGTTTGGAGCTCTATTATATTATAAAAAGTCCTATTTTAGGTGTCAATGGAATAGAAGAAGTTGCAAACTTTGAACCAAAAGAAGTTGCCTTCGATTACTCCTGGCAAAGTTCAAAGTGGCCCAATATTAAACGTCAAGTGAAAGAAATCTTGCCGTTTGGCCAGCTACTTCCTGAAAGTTATCCGCACAGGTTTAAATATTCACAGAAAGAAGAACTAATGAGGCAGCATAACCTTCATCCATCAAGTTATGTTTCAACCCTGCTTGACTCCACCAAGAATGCTAAGGAGTTCACGTCTGCCTTGAATCATGGTTACTACAGTGTCACTATTGTTGGTATGTATTTGAACTTGAAATCAATAAAAAATTATCGTATGTCAAGGCATGTAATAAACCCTAATTAACCTTATCGTGTCTTCTTTGACAGATCTAAATCAAGAAATTGCAATGGATATTGTTTTTCTGCCGTCAGGCTTGGGAGTTGACAGGATCTTTGATACTTCTGCAAATGATACTAGTTTGATTTCCATCTTGTCTGGTGCTTGCACTTCTGAAACTGCAGTCTCGAATGGTAATAAGCATTTTTACAACTAGCAGAACTTCAGTAGAACCCCCATTATAAACTCTTTGTTATAACATGATTGGGTTATGGACCCTGACATTTTCTTAGCTGAAAATACGAACATTGTGCCATCCAAATCAGTCATTCCACTTAAATTGAAATCCAGTTGTTGCAAGTCATCATGCTCAAAGTCTCATTGTCGAGCTTTAAAAGGCATCAGTGTAACAACAGGATTTGAAGTGCAACCACAAAATTTAAAGCGGAGACTAAGCCGGCTTGCTTTCTACACATCTGCAAGCACGCATCCTGTTGTGTGATAGGTAATATCTCAATGCAGAAGGGCTGACGGCCAACTCATGGTCGCATCCCATTATAACGCAGGTTGGAATTTTATGGCCATCAATGATTGGAGTTCTATTGCAGTAAACAATTAGCATGAACACATTGACATTTGCAGTTTCATAAATCCTTATTCTGTATTCCTCCTGTAAGTGCTCCAAGACACTATCCTGCAGAAGAGGGCTATATAAATTCAAGTTGTTGTTAATTCAACGTAGTACCAGACATTTACAGCACAAAAGAGGCGTTTTTGGTGCCTCTGGGATCTTTGAAAAAGTACTGTGTCGTAAGAGAAGTTAACTTTGCAGGTATCTGTTGGAGACCACCTCATGAAAAGCAGAATATTGTCATGCAACTTAATGATAGAATCTCTATCTGCATTGAATAATTGTGCCATGTTCACAGAAATTAATGATTTTATAAAAACTATTTCCTCATTTAGAATTTTTTAACTCCTGTTACCAATTGGAAGCAAAATTAAATCGTAATTATGTGTAGTTCCTGTTCATTATTATCAATTAAAAATCTTTTTGATTTTTTTTAAAACAAGTATCTAAAATTGATTAACTTATTTTCAGATGTTACACAATTCAGAATTATACTGTCTTTCAAATTGTGTTTAATTAGTTGGGCCTGATAATGTATCATTTTAACCATTTTATTTCCTTTTAGACCAACTCATGAAAACTGCCCCTGAGCTAGATGGAAAGCACTTCCTATTCATATTGGATCTCTACTATAATGGGAATAACAGAACTGAAGTTATGCTAAAAAGAGTATATGAAAGATGTTAACTTATTTCATAAGTTGCCATTTTGTTACAGAAAAAATCTTATAAAGATGCTGACTCATTCTTGGATTTGGTTTCACAAGCAAATGTAACTTTCTGGTACCATGATTCAGTGACTAATCTTTATATGGGAACTTGGAGGTTGATTGTTGGCAAGCAATTTGACTGGAGGGCATCAGAGCCAAACAAAATGTTTTCATCCAATGCCATTTGTGCTCACTTCAGGAACACTGAACACTCCACATTATTATCCAGAATTATCCAAACTACAAAAGGTTTCCTTGCTTCAATTTTAGGCTTCCTTAGTTATGTCGTATTAAAAAACACTCAGAATTTCTTAGCAATTGGTCAATTCTTGATTTCACCAAATAGGTGGTATTGAGTGATTAATGGTTGAAAATTATTTTCACCAAAGGTTAGGTTTTTGTAAGCCTTTAGATATTAATAGATGTAAAGTACTTATATTAATGTTATAGCCATTAAAAAAGTAAATACTAATAAATGTCTTTGTAACAGTACAATACAAAATTACATTTATATATCGCCTTTCACTTTGAAAGGACGACAAAATGGAGACAGTGTCAGAGGTAGAACTACTCAAGGACAGAACCATGAAGGTTGAGGTGAGAGGGCAGAGGTGGTGGAGGAGGATAGAGTGATCAGTGGTTTCAAAGGCAGAGGATAGGTCAAGGAGGACGAGGAGACAGGAGCCCTGGTCACAGATGGACAGAATGTAATTTGTCACTGACCAGGGCTGTGCTGTGGCAACACGGAAACCTGATTGGAGGAGTTTGTATAGGGAGTGACGTGAGAGGAAGAAGTGAAGCTGGGACATTGGAAAAAAAGTATTTTATATCTATGTATTGCATGTTCATTGATTTTTCATATTATATGTACCCTATTTATTAAAACAAGTGTTGCATGTAACATTTTAATTAAATAAATGAAAAATTAGTATACAGTATGTTGGCATTTATTATGTACCATTTGTCATATTTCAAACAAATTGTTTTACTTAGCAGTAGTTCAATAACTACTATATTGTAATTTTCTTTGCTATGTTTTGTATATATATATTGAATTATATGTGTTCTGTTTCACTCAGAATACAAATGTTTGAATATTACAATAAATTAGGTAGAAACTGACAGTAGAGTAGACCAGTACTCCATGAAAAGTATTCTTTGCAACTAAAGTATTATTCTAAACTATATACTTTTTGTTTGTTTTCTGACCAAGTAACCTAACAATAACACAAAGAAGCAAAGGCATTACATTGTTTTGTAAGACACATTAACTTATTTACAAACCAAGTGGAGCAAATTACAACAATTTGAATTTATAAAACATCTTTCACATAAAATAACTTCTCAAAGTGCTTGAAAAATGTAGTGTTGCACACTGTCTGGCAAAGACGACTTCCCTGCTGACTGTCCAGCTAGGACTACCTATCAGTTGGGGCTTTGTCTCGCTGAGTTTGAAGACCCAAATTTGGTTGTCTGATGTGTTGGAAGCCAATGATGCTTGTGGTACATGGTGTTGATAGATGTGTGGGTCAGAAAAATGGGATGCAGAGTCAAACTGCTGGGACAGCAGTTTTCTTAGTGATTGGTTAAATAATAATCTTGCATTTGATATAGCACTTTTCACGTCTTCTAGATGTCTCAAAGCGCGTCACACAATATGCTGTAAAGTGAATTGACTATTTGTGGGCGATACATGGCAGCCAATTGCACACAGCAGTGTCCCACGAACAGTCGTGGATTGAGTGACCAAATTTTTTTTAAGGGATTATTATTAGGCATATGGAGTAAGAAAAATTGCCCAAGGCTTCGCCCTGCCGGGAATCGAACCCAGGTCCCTCGCTTGCGAGGCGAGTGCTCTAACCACTGAACTACAGAGCTCCATAGTGCATTGTTAACAGTTCACTAACAGTTCATTGTTTGTGCTCTCAAATGACAAGCTTTCCATACAAACAATTGGTATTAATATAAATTTTTGGCCTATTGGCCAATCTTAAGTCGGACTACATCCTTGAATCTTTCCTTTTCATCATCTATATGTTGCCCAACTGTCCTTTTAAGTCCAGGACCACTGCTATTCTGATCGATTGTCCATCAGACTTCAAGTCCTGGGTATTGTCTAACTTTCTTCAGCTAAAGACGCAAGACTGAGGCTCTCCTACTTGGCTCCCATCAGTGCCTTATCACTTCAGGCACTGACTGCATTAATCAACAACAACAACAAGATTTCATTTATAGAGAGCCTTTCATGTCGGGAGGACGTCCCAAGGCGCTGGACAGTTGGGTCAGGACCCGAGCAGGGGGGAAATGGTCAGGGTGAGGGGAGGGAAGGGAGGGAGTGAGGAGGGGGTAGAGAGTCGAGAGGGGAGCTGAAGGCACGGTCAAAGAGAAAGGTCTTGAGACCGGCCTTGAAGGAGGAAAGGGAGGAGGCGGCGAAGGCACTGGGGGATGGAGTTCCAGAGCCTGGGGGCTGAGAGGCTGAAAGCCCGGCTACCGATGGTAGGGTGGATAGGGCGGGGATGGGGAGCAGACCGGAGCCAGAGGAATGGAGGGTACGGGCAGGTAAGTGGGGGATAGTAGGTCGGAGAGGTAGGAGGGAGCAAGGCCGTGAATGGCCTTGTAGGTGAGGGTGAGGATCTTGAATTCGAATTAATTGAATTAATTAATTGAATTAATCTGCACAGATTTCCACTTGCATCTCACTCAGCCAGTGCGCAGCCTTGGTGTCTTGTTCAACCCCAACCGTACTTCAAGCAATACATCTGGGCTCTGTCACTTTACTTTTCCTCACTGCAGCGTCGTCCACCTCCACTACTACCCCTCTCCCAGGCTGCTGAGACCCTCATTCACACCATCATCACATCTGGGCTCAACCAATCAAATGCCCAGTTCGCTGGATTCCTACTCCATCCTATCAGCTCCTCCTTTCACAAGCTGCAGACCATCCATAACTACAGCTTGTCCTCTCCCACACTGAGCTCCATGAGCTTATAGCTCACATTACTGATCGGTTCCACTGTGTCCCAGCAGATCAAATTCAAGATCCTTGTTCTGGAGTTCAAATCCCTCCACGGCCTAGCGCCACGCTACTTTTGTAACATGCAACCCTATCACCCTGGCTGCTCCCTCCACTCAGCGAACACCACCTCCTTCATATCTCCTGCCTGATCCGCCCCACCCCACCATGAGTGGGTGAGCTTTCTGCCATTCTGCCCTGCTCTCAATCCAGTGTCCCTCCATCTTGCCCCTCTTTCCTCACCTTTAAAACCCGCCTTAAGACCCAGACAGTGCTGTGAAAGTGAAGAGCCTAGGTGTAAGGATGAAGTTATTTTTCTCTGAATAAGGTACGGTTGACCAGTCTGTTTAGCTTAGTTCAACAATAATAACTTGTATTTATATATCCATTCTTCGGATAAAATGTTAAACTAAGGCCACCTCTGCCTGTTGAGGTGGACTTTAAAGATCCCATGGCACTATTTGAAAAGCGAAGACAGTTTATTCTTGTGTCCTGGCCAACAATCTCCCAAATAAAATTGGTCATTCACTTCATGGCTGTTTGTGGGACATTGCTGTGTCCAAATTGGCTGCACTTGATTCGGATGGCTCTTTTCAAAGAGTCGGCACAGACACCATGGACCGAATGGCCTCCTTCTGTGCTGTATGATTCTATGACTTCACAGTAAACCCTGGGAGGCACTTTGGGATGTCCTCCTGGCCTTATACCAAAGTTAAGGATTGTTATATAGTGCCCTTCAAAAGGGTAGCATCCCTGAGTGCTGAATAACGATCAGTGAGATTTAAGAGGAATGGCATTCAGCCCTTAAACCCCAACAGGTAAGGTTTCCCCAAATTGTACTTAAAATACAAGAAAGTAAATTTAAGGTTGGGACTATTAAGGGGCTGAGGAACTGAACTGAAGAGAATTTGCATCTGGGAAAGAGGTGACGTGGTTTAAATGGGTACCTTGTGCCCACGGGCTGCTGCTGCTGCTGGTGGTGGTGCTGGTGGTGGTAGAGTGAGACTGGGTTCTCGAATTGCTCCTGTAATGTTTGCTGTTCTGCTTTCACTGCTTTTGTTATTAATTATTTTTGAAGTCGAATGCGTTCGACTCAACTGTTCCAAAGCCAAGTGCCAGATCTGGGGCGTGGAGACAGGGACCTGTGGGGAGGCAGTGTCCTGAGAGAGAGATATATATATATATAGAGAGAGAGAGAGAGAGAGAGTATCATGGAACAGACAGCAACCAGGAGCTCCCACCCTGACCTTATCCACTGGTGAGAGATTCAAAGTCGTTCAATATCCTATATAGATCCTAACGCATATTCATTGTATAAACGATTTTAATAATAATATTATTATTATCACACACGATTTTATTTCCGACAGAGCCTCTCCATCCTAAATGTCTCTGAAATGGAATATTACTCTTTGGGGAGGTGTCGAAATTACAGTTTATTTACACAGCAGAGAAAGCAATATGTTTTTTGGGGGTTTGGAAAACAACATTGATTTAAGATGTTTTTTTTTAATTTGATGGGATCAATGTAGCATCAACGCCACGTGAACCCTTCAGTTGTTTCTATTGCCTTATGAGCACTGGATCCAGCAATAAAACGAGTTTCGTTTCGAAAGAGACTGTGGATGGAAAATCCTTTTCGATAAAATACATTTATTTTTTTTTGAAAAAAACTGTCATTTTCGGTCAAACCTCGGAGGTCTGGGGCCGCACGGTCTTGTGCATTGGAATGGTATAAACATAACGGATTATATACACATAATGTTTACACAGAAAGAAAGATACGATGCATAAAGATCAGATGCGGTGGAGCTGAGATCCACATTAATTACGCGGTGTGGGCGCAATGCTACAGCAGGACATCGCCCATCGGAATTCCAGCGTTTTGCTGGATCTCTCCTTTTGCCACCGTTGGAAATCAACCTGATCCCCGATTAACTCGGCTGTTGTTCTTCTCGGTTCCCAGGCTGCTGGAACACTTTCACATTTGCGAAGGCTGGAGCATTCCACGTGGGCTGATGTACCAGTTTTACCTGGAATATTGCAACCACAGTACATCCAACCCAATAAATGCTGCTACCTTTGGAAAGGTATGCTCAGTAAGAGTTGACACAAGGCAATGATTTGTTGATTTGGGAGTGACTGGTTTTTAGTGTATGCTGTATATGCACTACTGTGTATTTTTAATACTTGTAACGTGATCCTTCAGTCCTTCAGACCAAGTGGCACAGTTAAGCTGTCTTCAATTCTGCATCACCTCGACTTACATTCATGCACATGTTTATCGCACGTGGAGGAAGACATTCCAATTTGACTTAGCCTTTAAGTGGGCGCACAATTTGGCAAATTCTGCAATAAAGTCTTCAAATGAAACTTATTGTCCGTAGGTTGTTTTTTAAAGAGCTGTAAAATAAAATAGTAGGTTTATTTGGGAATTTGCCAAATGTTGTACCCTTTCAAATGCCAAGAAAGTACAGACCAATGAGGATTTTCTCTCCCATAAATAGGAACCTTAGAATATTAGACTTCTCTGGGATTTAACACTTTAACTTTGAGAAAGCTCTTCATAAAGACTTGGCGAACCCCAGAGAACAACTATAGAACATTCCTCCATCTTCACAGACAGCACCCCTTGCTCCCCCTCCTGCAGCCCAACCCAGCAGCTAATTTGTGCCCAGCAACTCCCTTCGCTTTTCAGCTAATGCCACCAGACCTGTAATGTTCATCTAAACAGGTAGATTGGGTCTCGATTTAATGTCTCATTTGTAGGGTGGCACCTCTGATAATGAGGCACTCCCCTCGCACTGCTTTGGAGTGTCAACGTCAACTACATTACTGGAGAGAAATTCCACCTGAGTCTAGATTTACTCTATTTTAGATTGTGTGGAATTTGGAAAAATCTTAAATACAGCCTTCATTTTAAGGCTCGGTTTGTGTAAGTTTTTTTTAAGAACTATAGAAAACCATCTTCAAAGTTAACACTGAAATGAATCATTTGTCAAATTCCGGATGCTCTGAAATACCATATAAATAGAGAAAATCTAGAGCCAGGTGGATTTTCTTCCCAATATATGTACCAAGCAGCCCTTATACATAGTTTCATTACTTCTTCAAAGAGTTCCAATAGATTTTTTTTAAATTTCTTTTCAACCTGTATTTTCAATAAAGCAAGACATTAGAAGAAGGAAATTCTTGACTTGATCCTTTTCACTATTGTTTTGTTAACCATAAATTGTTATAAATGAATCCATCTACCTTTTAAAGCTTGTTCGTTCGGTATTCAGCGATCTGCGAACCAGGCGATTGGGTACGAGAGGTTGTGCAAGGTAACCCTTTAATTTCCTCAGTTATCATTTAAAGACTAGAGGCTTAAATCTTCACCTCGGCTTAGAATGTGAGACCAATTTGCCTTAAAATTTAAGATGATGTACAATTGTGGAAAATTCTACAATTCAGCTTCAATTTCATCCACAAAATACACAACCTACAGTATTTCCTGTGAAGTGCTTTGAGACATCTCAACGATGTGACAAGGCACCATATCAAATGCAAGGATTATTTTTATTAGTATTATTAATTTTGAAGCCTTTTTTAAGAATTGCAGAAAATGGATTTATGGGTTTTCCACTGTTCCATGGAATCTTAAATTTTAAGACAAAATGGTCTTCCAGTCTTAGACTAAGTGGAATTTCAGGCTTTGGGGTCTACTTCAGTATTTATTGTGTGCTGGAAATGCAGTTCTTCAACTAGTAAAGACTGTTTTGGTATTTTGCCCACAAAATATACAGTCAATTCAGTTTACAATAGATTCTGTGAAGCGTTTTGAGATGTCTCGAAGAGGTGATACGGTGCTATATCAAATGCAAGGATTAATAAAAAAGATTTAAATATTTTGCTCTCTGTCCTCTTGGTAGACTTCTTAAGCATTTTCTCAGATGCAAAAAGGCACAAAAACAAACAACTCACCCTCAGAAGCTATGAATCATGATCATGGGTTTTGCATCTTTTTTCAACCTTTTCAAAAAAACAAAACAGAAATCTGACAAAAGGTCACAAATAGAAACATTGGCTGCAAAATAGCATTTTTGTGAGAATCAATCCTGCAATTTCATTTACTAACCAAAAATTGTTATTAGCACAGTGACTTCTCATTTGCGAATACTTTGCTGCATTTTTCACCCCATTTTTAGAAGCTGGAATGAGTGCTAACTCATTTAAACCAAAATGGTTCAAATAATTAACCCCAAATGATCCCATTAATAAAACAAATCCAGGGTATCAACTGAGGTTAGTGGCAACAAAGCAAAAATTCCAAAAAGCAATGTGCCAAAGCAAATTTGAGCCATTCAGCCTTAAGATGAATACCTATCCCAAAAATATTTATGCTTTGTAATTCTTTTTACACTCTGAGCAATGTAAACGTTCCAGGGGTGTATCCTGCATGGAGGGCAATAAAATAAATTCAAGTAGTAATTGTGCAATGCAATTAGTTTATAAGTTCATTTCTCACTGCAGAATTGAAGCATAGAGATAATAGCAAATGGGCATAGAGATTCAGTCCCCAGGATTTGCTGTACAACATGAAAATATGAATTGGTATTGTTAGTAAAACTTTGAGAAAATCCTGACTTTTACCAAAAATAATTTTATAGGTATCATTATGAAGGAATACGTGTGAGAAGGCATTCTCCCCTGTACGGTCGGTACTCCTCTCTGATGACCAACAAACAGTTTGAAAGGTAAATTTAATGTATGTTCTACATGTGCATTTCACATCTGTTAAGCAGTTTATGAACTTATCCACTTGAGAGTCTCCACATCTTTACCCGTATTCAATCGGTGATAGCCATCAGAAGGAGTTTACAAAATACTGTACTTGGAACTGCACACTGTTAAATCAAATGAAGAAAACTGCACTCATGGTATTAACCTGGAAAGCATTATGGCAATTATGTAAGCAGTTAGGAGTTGAATTTTATTATATCAGAAGATCCATAGTAATTAAATGGCTAATTAAATGTGTGCTCTACTAATTAACCTTGAGGTTTTTTTTCTCTTCCCTGAAAACAAGCTTGGATTTTTCCAGTTTAGAAGAAGGAAGTTTCTTTAGTGCCGGTAATAAATATGAAAAGGTTTGTAAATAAAATCATTTTGATGTATTAATTTATTTAATTTTAGTTTTATAAGCTTAAGGTTCATGGTGAAGTGTTTCTTCTTCTGTGTACATGTGTACACATGCAAGTACATGTATGTGTATACATATGTTGGTATCAGTGTGTATGTGTGTGAGTTTGTGGGTGCTGACCTTCTGCACTGTGGTTGACGTGGAGTCTTGACCATTGAATCATATGCTAACAGCAAAAGGACTTAAAAGTTCTTACAGTCATGAGTAATTTTAGTTCTGTCTCAGCCCAATTTCATCTGGTAGCAAGACAGAAAGCATGCTGATTTAATCCATCTATTTTGATTCTTGGCTTAAGAAGATGGAAACTGGAAATGTCATCCAGTGTCCTGTTGCACAATTGTACCACATATTTATAGCGTAACTTTGTATTTTCATGTTTAATTTGAATAGAGCATTTTATACAATGCGAGTGTTGGATGATTTAATAACTCACAAGGTCACTGGAAATATGATAGTCTTCTGTAGCAGTGTTGTACAAGTTTTTGACGAACCACAGCTGTGGCTATGGCGACAACATTATAACCAGGTTCACTAATTTTAGTAGAAAACCCCTTACACTCACACGATACAGGTAAATGTACTTCACATGTATGTTTACATGTAGATTTACTTACCAACAACAAATTATACTTGTACGGCACCTTTCACGCCAGGAGGATGTCCCAAGGCGGATGTACCAAACATCTACTTAACAAGCACTTATCACCATTCAGTGCAAAACTTTGCAGTTTTCTCTTTATTTTACTTGCACAAGATGTGCCAGATCAGTCCCTGTTCTCGCAACCTCTCAGAACGTGGTTGGATGTTGCTTGCCCTTTGCCATGAGGTGCCTCATTATTGGCTGGACTTGCTTTCTGCTGCTAGCCTAGAGCGGTTATTTTGTTTGGTTAAGATGATTATGATAATCCCCTCTCCACACAGTATTGCTGGTGTTTGCATGCTGTTGAAATCCAGCATTTCACTTGTATTGAACATCATTTTAGCAGATAATCAATAAGCAGTAACCAAGGAAGTAAAGCACACACAACGATCAAAAAACACACTGCTTTTATGCAACTAAGCATTGCTGTTGGGTAGCGATGTGATCTGATTTTGCATCCTTTAACCTGTTACATTCATTTGATCAAGACAACAGTTATCATCATATACCGGTGTTGGTACAGATTTTAACATTACTTCTACATGGTGAAGTGATTCTTCACAAGCCTCTGTTGACAGTAACCATCATTGTTGATATATGCAAACTGTGGGATGTTTTCTAACATTGTTATTATTAATGAAGGCAGAAAGTCCACGTAATGCAATCTGTGAATTCACTCGGTTTACCTCCTGGGAGCAAGAACTAGGAAAAAAATATTCTACTCAGATGGCAAGTGAACCTCCTCTTCTCTCCATCCTCCTTACAACAAATAGTCAATTTCATTTTAATTACATTTTAGTTGAACAATTTTCTTCCCTCCTATTCTGTCCTGCTAGTTTACCATGGTTGCAGATGTATATTACAAGCACTGTCAGGATATTTTGCAGCATATCCGAAGTAATCGATTTGACAAGGTATGAGTAGCACAATACCAGCAAACAATCTCAATTCAGTGATAAGAGGAAAAAATATTTCTGTGAAAATTTTAGCCATCACAAAACTCCATGTTTTTTTACAAAATGCCACAACATGTCACATTGGAAGTGCTGCTTGCATATTCAACGCAATTTACTCTCAACACCCCCCACCCCCCACCACAAAATAAATCGCCTGTTTATTATTTCAGCCAAAGATACAGCTGGGGAGAAAATCAACGTGGGCTCAGATTTACTCTATTTATGAAGAATTTCAGCATGTCAAAACTTTGGCAAACTCTAAAGTACAGCCTCAAATGCAAGGATTGTTATTGTTTTATTAACTTTCAAGCTGATTTTCTGTTATTGTGAGAACTACAGGTGAAATTTCTCCTCTAGTATGTTTACAGGTTGACTGTGAGCCACACAGTAATGATACATAAGTTATTTGAATCAATACAACCATCCTTCATAATCAATTGGGACATTATGTATCTGTAGATTAATCCTACTGACAAAGTGAATATTTTTTCTTGTTTCATTTCTTGCATTACTTGTGAATATAGGCCTCTCAGTATAACTCTTAACAGATTCTTGTTTTCATGACTTTTATAATTTTATCAACTAATTTCATTCTCTGCGTTATCCCCCACTTGACTCAAAAACTGCAGAAAAAGAACATTTAATTAATTGGTTGAACGGTTTATCTAAATTTCTGTCTCCATTATTGTTCTCTCTGGGATTGTAACGATATTGTATTTGTTTAACATCAGTGCTTTGGGCAAGAAATGAAGTAAAGAGCAAGTTGTTAAAATGTTTGCCATTGTACCCGACTAAATATTTAGCTTTGTTCCCTGATAAATAAGAGTTTAGGATTCTTGAGAAAATTGTTTTTGCACAAAGGGTTATTAAAATGTAAAATGCATTACCAGAAGATCAAGTCAATTATGGCATTTAAAAGGGAATTACAAACCCATGACAATTGAAGATATAAAGGAAGTTGTAGCAATAATGTGGGATTAGATTAAATTAGATTTCACAGCCTCAAAGGGGAAGCACAATTCCATGTCCTACGTTTATGCTGAAAGTTTTATGATTCTAGAATAGGGTGACCATTTATTCGTGATTTCCGGGGACATTCCCTGGATGACGGAGATGGACAATGTGACTCTGTCCATACCTCACAACCAAGGCAGACAAAACCCTCGTCCACGCCTTAGTCACTTCCCGACTGGACTACTCCAATACCCTCTTCGCTGGTCTCCCCAGCTCCACGATACACAAAATCCAATTAATTAAAAACTCTGCCACCTCGATACTCACCCGCACAAAACTCTGTACTCCCATCGCACCAGTCCTTGCCAGGCTCCATTGGCTCCCAATCACTGAACAGATCAATTTCAAGATCCTCTCACTCGTTTTCAAATCCCTTCGTACCCTCTCACCTCCCTACCTATCGGATATGCTTAGCTGCCACTCCACCACCGGCTGCTTCCACTCGGCTGACTCTGGCCTCCTGCTTCTCTCATTCCCTTTGCTCCAACAGCAGTGGCTGTGCCTTCAGCCATTACACCCAAAGCTCTGGAACTCTCTCCCTCAAACCCTCCACCTTGCCCCCTCCCACACATCCTTCACATCCTACATAAAGACCTTCCTTTTTGATCATGCTTACAGTCACCTCCCACCTCCCTCTCCCCCTGGCTCAGTGTCAGACTCCACCATTGTCCAGAACTCTGGAACGCTACACCGCATGAAAAGGGCTATATAAACGCAGGTTGTTGTTGTTCTGACCCTGGCCAAATATGCCCTGTCTTGTGTTCAGCAAACAAACTGAGTAAGAACAATAAAATTCTAAAACACATACACTCATCAAAGAAATACAGCCATGAATCCAACAAAAGGTTTCTTCAGTACTACCAGCATCAGGAATTGTGGTGAGTTCACCTTTTTACATGTGTCCCCATATTTGGTTTACAAAATATGGTCACCCTAATCTGTGAGCTTCTGAAGAGAGTGAGAAAGCTTCATAAAAAGATAACTATTTAAGATACCTTCTGTGCTTATAATGACCAGAGTAAAATAAAGTTGAACAGAGTACAAAATATTCTCATAAGGTTTTCAACTATATATAGCATATAATAATAATAATCCTTGCATTTGATATAGCACCTTATTACATCTTCATGACGTCTCAAAGCACTTCACAGTGTATATTTTGTGGGTGAAAAGCAGCAGCCAATTGCGCACAACAGTGGCGGTCGTGGATTGAGTGACCAAATTATTATTATTACAGTATTTATTTTGGAGGGACTATTATCTGCGGAAAAGCGATCCGTCAGTCGACTAACAACTGGGTTCCTATTTACTGCTAGATAAACAGAGGTGTGCAGAGTAAGGAAACTTGCCTAATGTTTCGCCCTGCCCGAGAATCAAACCAAGGTTCTCTCGCTTGCGAGGCGAGTGCTCTAACCAATATGCCTCAAGACTGCAATTGATTGCTTTTAATCATGTAAATGTACTATCTGGAGATAGCACACAAGCTCCAAAATCTTCAAAGTCCAATTTGCTTATGTGCAAAAATCACACTTGTAACATTGCAAATATTTATTCAAAAGTCAACCCTTGCGTATAAGCATGATTTATTTGTAGATATTGAGATACCTGACATCTGGCATCTGTATAAGTATGCAGAAAGTGTCACAGAGTAAGGCGAGTTTTCTAAATTTTATCTAGAGTGATAATGTATTTTTGGTGTTAAGCTATGCAACGTGTTGTTGCACTGTGTTGTTTTAGCAGCATGAGATGTTTTAGCACAGCATGGTTATTGCAACATTAAATGAAAATTAAATTTCAGCTCACAAGGGATACCACAGATACCAATCAATTTACAAGAAAATCTCTTTATAATTCTATATTGTAGATTAAAGGTCTTCTCGCTTTGTTTTGGAAATCATTGCCATACGATGTCATCAATACAATATCCTTGCCAGATATATGCCATCTTTTCTGCTGTTACGATACACAGCTGTACAAGGTAATTTGTAACTGTAACCACCTGTATTGGAAACACAACACTGAAAGCTCCTTACACCAAGTTCATCAAAAGTATTGCCAGGACACATTAAAATGTGTTGTTTAAAATAATTCCAGGTGGCATCAATAACAGTGCTTTTTTAAAACAGAATCTCTATGGAAACTAAACTGACTAAAAATCTGTAGTGTTTTTTGCACCTTCATGTTTTGATAATTGAAAGTGTTGTAACTATAAATTGGCATCTGTTACCTGAGTTATTTAAACTGTGTAATTGCTACCAGAAGGCAATGTGGAATGGTGACATGATATACAAGGTGCTGAATGATTTGTAACATATAAAGGGTAACCTGAGGTTTGCCTTCCAAACAGATTACAAACTGGAGATGTGGCTTAGATTTGGTTTAGGAACATTTCTGTGGCGCCACAGTCCATCCTGTTCACCATAATGTTTAGTTTGTGTGTGTTTTCACTCAGAAACAATGGGTTGGGGGTTGCAGGGGGGCTGTGGGGTGGGGGGCTAATTTGCAAATATGTAAAAGGATTTGTAGATAGCAAATCCTGCAGGGACCTGGATGTGTCTCATGACAACTCTCCAGAAATCTGCTTGGATGCCAATCTTCATTCCGACCGTCAGACTGTGGCCAAAATAGTCTCCTGTCCTGCTTCCCCCTCCCTCCCCCCCGCCCCTCATCCCAGTTAGGGATTGGCATCAATTAGATTAACAAATTTCTGGAGGGTTGGACACAGACATGCAACAGGCAACTTGTTCTCAGGCCTTTGTTAATCCATTTGAAGATGCATAAGTCTGAGGAGTCCTGTAGCTCAGTGGTTAGAGCACTTGCCTTGCAAGTGAGAGACCTGGGTTCGATTCCTGGCAGGGCAAAACCTTGGGTAAGTTTTCTTACTCCACACGCCTGATAATAATTTCTCAAGAACAAAAACAATAATAAAATTGGTCACTTCAATCCACGACTATTTGTGGGACACTGCTGTGCACAATTGTCTGCCGTGTTTTGCCCACGAAATATACAGTCAATTCACTTTACAGTATATTCTGAGACGTTTAGAAGACATGAAAAGCGCTATATCAAATGCAAGGATTATTATTTTTCTTTCCATATTTTCTGAAACATATTTATGTTGAGTTTCCTCACATTGTAAAAGATCCCTAATAATCCTTGCATTTGATATAGCAATCTATAGCATCATCAAAGCACTTCACAGGATTTTACTGTAAAGTGTAGTGAATATGTATTTTGTAAGTAAAAGTGGTAGCCAATTTGTGCAGCACAGGAATGTCCCACAAACAGCCACAAATTTATCTCTGAGAGAAACAATAAGCTTCAAATTTACTTCTAGGCAATATAATATGAAAGGCCAGTTTGTTCAGGGTTTTATTGTTCACTTCTACTGTGTTAACAGATGATTGAAGAAGTCCTCCTTCGGGACTTCCTAGCTGACTTTTCTGTACAGCATCTTCAGAGTGCAAGATCCTTTGCTAAGAAGTTTAAAAGTTGGCTGGTTGATGCATTGGAAGGGACACCATTGCTACTGCAGACATTTAAAATGAGAGGTATTATTTTGTGTCAATTAATTATTGAAGCTTTATTTACCAGTGTTGCAGCAGTTGTGTGATTGTGGGAAACCTGTGTAGGACCAACTCTGATGTTATTGGTTTGAATCTAAAAGTATGGCCTTCACATGAACTTTTCATTCGCAGCTGTTTGAACTGACAGAGTACTTCTGCTATAATCAATCTCTTCTAAGTTATTGTATTGTTTCCATGAAGCCACTCACAGCTCATATTTAAGTGCAATAGAGAGTTCAATAAGATGCACATTGCAGCCCAAGATATCCCTGTGTGCAAATCTGTATCTCCATTGGTGCAATTGATTGATACTTGGGAAGGATGTCTGGCTGTAAGAATAGATTAGAAGTATTGAAAATAGAATTAGAAATATTGATGGCACATGTTTTAATTAGCCCCAGTACTTATTCTACTTAAATGTTTTCAAGACATATAATTGGCTTATTTTAATGGGCAGAAAGGCACTTCTGAACTTGCTAACAATTCTTAGCTGCTTGCATTAATTTGACCCGTTCAATGTAATTCCATGAGCCTAAATAGTCAAAATACAGTGGCTTATCCATCAAATCTTTTCTGTGTCCTCAGTCAATAATGTGGATAGGTTGCTCTGGCCCAAACAAATAATTAAATGCTTTGTTCCCTTTCTAATAATAACATGTTTATTAGAACACAAAAGAATCAGCAATACATGAGCAACTGGATGCTAATTGTGATTTTCTATCGTAAAAAATTGCTTGTAAAATTCAATCAAATCTATTGAAAATTGATGTTCATGAATACGAATAAGAGCTGAATCCACATTGTTTCTGTTTGCTATACAAACAAAGTGAACCTATGTCAATGATATAAAAAGAAGTATTAATGGATTCTTATTTTGATTTTGCTGTGTTTTATACAATGAACCAGACATTAGAAAGTTTTGAAGGTAATATCTAAGCATTTATTCAGAAATCTGCTTGAGTGGCCCGGAATGAATTCCATTCTTCCATTTCCATCATGCCTGAGATTGCAAATTCACTATTTGAAGGATGATGTGCATGAACTGCATCTCAGAAAATAATAATTCTTGCATTGAATTGAATTCTTACCTTTCACATTTGGAGGATATTTCAAAGTGCTTCATGTTATGTATTGTGAAGTGTAGTGATTGCATTTTGCATCTCCTTTGCTGCAAATGAACTTACCACCCTTTGCAATACCAGCCCACAACTCGTTTTTTTAAATGAACCACCTGCTTTAATAATGTTTTAAATATATATCTGACATGACTGTTTCCAATCTTTCAGCAGTGAGTATGTTTGTTAACAGACTACGAAGAAGAACGTGCATTTGTAATCTAGCAAAGGTAATGTATACAGCACACACTTCAATCTTTTCCCCTTTAAGAATGTGTGTGTTTACATCCCTATATCTCTTCACAATACAGAGAAGCCTGTTGTAAGTTTTTTATTGCTCCTCTATAGCGCACGTTTGGTTATAATGTGGTTGCAGTGTCAACCCTCTTGCTTCCTATGTTTTGGTTGGCACTCACGCTAAAATGGCTAACTTCCAGATCATTAGGTCAACGCCAATATCACTTCCTACCACTGGATGTGTGCAGCGCACAGCAAGTGATGTTGGCAGAGATTTAATTACCTGGCGGTCGGCCATTTTAGCATCATGTGCTAATAAATGACCAACTATTGAGTCATCAGGTTGCCACTTATGACACTTCGTGCTTTGCAGATCACAGAGGACATGATGTCAGCAGTGTCCATATGACTCAGAAGATGGTCTTGTTTTAGCACAGGAACCAACTTGTGTGCAGGGTTGGCTGCATGCATTAGGCATGAAAACGGCTCTTGCACCTCGTTATATAGAGATTTTATGGATCCAACCACTGCATTAAGTACTGTAACATTTAGGGTCGACTTCCTTTCTTTGTGCTATAGAAACATTCCTTTACCCTTACTCTTTACCTTTCATCTCTCTACCATCCTTCTATCTGGGCCACCAATTCACATTCAGGAATATGAAGTTTTTTTAAGTTTAGTAAGCAGTCTTTTATGAGGCACTTTATCAGATGTCTTCTGAAAATCTACGAACAAATCATCAACGTTAAACCCTTCAACCAATGCAGCCAAAATCCTTGTCCATACCTTTGTTACTTCCCAGCTGGTCTATTCAATGCCCTCCTCGCTAGGTTCCCCAGCTCCACCATACACAAAATTCAATTAATTCAAAACTCTGCCACCCAGATATTGACCTGCAAAAAACTCTGTACCCCCATCACACCAGTCCTTACCAGGCTCCATTAGCTATATAAATGCAATTAGTTGTTGTTGTTCATGCATGCACTTGGACTTCCTTAAATTTTTTTATTGAATTAGTGAAGCATGTCATGCATTTTATAAGTTCATGCTGACTCTCCTGGACCAATTCGTGTTCTAGGTTTACTTTCTCTATCCAGTTTAGAATTGTATACGGTATACTGGGAGTCCTGTAGCTCAGTGACCTTGCAAGCGAGAGACCCGGGTTCGATTCCCGGCAGGACAAGTTTCCTTACTGCACATGCCTGATAATAATCCCTCAAGAAAAAAAACAATAATAAAATTGGTCACTTCAATCCACGACTGTTTGTGGGACACTGCTGTCCATAATTGGCTGCCGGGTTTTGCCCACAAATATACAGTCAATTCACTTTACAATATATTCTGTGAAGCGCTTTTAAGACGTCTAGAAGACGTGAAAAGCGCTATATCAAATGCAAGTATTATTATTACTTTACTCCAATGAGGTCCCCTTCCATGAAGCCTCTTTTCAATATTCAAGAGCCTTAGTGTGTCTAATAATTCCTCGTAGCTCAGTAATCTATTATTAGAGATTGTTTTTCTGCAATAGACAGATATTCTGTGTTTGTTTCAGAGCATGCACGTGGTTTTGAATAATCGCAGAATGGTCAGCACTTTAAAAGCTGACCTGAATTCCATGCTCACCCAGGGACTGCTGGATATCCCCAGCAAACCCAAGCAATCAGTCAGCTGTCCACTGGATGAAATAGGCAACAGTTTGAATGGAAATGTAAGCATGTGTTGTCTTAATTCCTCCTGACACAAAGAGCCTGTATTTGATATTCAGATTGTTAATCTTTCATCTCCCCACTCCCGGAGGTCCAGATTTGAGCTGGGGTATGGTTCAGCAGGAGCCTGAGGCCGTCCAATTGCCCTTCCATATGGCCATTCTTCATGCATGTGTCCAGACAATGTGTTTGGCAGATTATTTCACCCACTGGGCCATTTACAATTGAATTGCATCTTGTCCTCACCAGATATGTGCACTTTTCAGAAGGATCATTGGATAATGAGCAAAAAGAGGAATGCAGATTTCCTTTCTCTTACCAAGGGCCCTGAGGCCAATTGTAGCATCTCTAATGTGACCCTGGCTGATATAAACTAACAGCATTAGACCACAGTTTAAACCTGACCCGCTGGTCTGTTTGGCTGAGTTTCACTCTAGGCAGTGACTTTAGCATAAGGAGAACTTGGTAATATGATATTTAATCATTTTCTCACCACTGTGTCCAAAAAGAGATTTGATCCTATAATTTCATTGAATAATAAAACGTAAGTAACATTATTTATGCTTTGTATGCAATAGATATTTAAAAGTATAGTATCTTTAGTTATAGTACATGAAATAAATGTTACTATTCAGATGCTTTGGGCATATTTAGACATAAATCAATTCCTCTGTCTTAATTTTTCTTTAGTTGGTCATGTGCTAGATAGCTCTGTGGTATTAAACATATGATAAAATAATATGCATGTGTAAGTTTGATTCATTTAATTTCAGGTCTTGACAGCCTCCTAATGTTGCTGGATACTGCAGCAGACATTAGAGCTTATTTTCACTGCGTGTCAACACTTGTACATGACTTTGTATTTCAGGTATGTTCCTGGACATAATGGAGTGCATTATGTGGTGATTTCTAGCAGGATTTAGGTAACAGAACTTTAATAAAGAAACTGGTATATCATGTCGACCCACCTGAACTCCACTTCATGTTGATCCCGTACAAATACAGTCACTATACTTTATCGAACTCTATGAAACACTTTGAGATATTTTCATATGATGGTGCTATAAAACTCAATGATTTTTATTTTCTACTTTCAGGTGGAATTCTGTACTTCTGATTACCAGAAGGAGTCCAAACTTGGGTTCCTTATTTAGGAATTCCATTAGAAATCACTGCATATCTGACCTAATTTAATATCACTGTTATGATTGTTATCCTGTTATGTAATGTAATACTTTCAATTGTGCACGTGTCCCTTCTACTGAGCACTTCCCAATCAGCAAGACAATCAAGATCAAAGCATTGTAGTTTGTTACCAATGTCATTAGTGTGAGTGATTAATACTTTAAATATTTGGTGCTTTAACTAAACACGTTTGGTATTCCAGCCTAGCAACTTTAGGGGAGAAGAATTCATACAACTGGCTGCAAATTTCCAGCTGAGATGGAACTATTTTCTTTCTGCCATAAGTCGGGCCTTAACACTCTCAAATGCAGAAAGCTTTGGTGAGTCTTACCTCTGAGACCTGTTGTAACAATATCTTTAAGTTTAAAAATCAACTGTACACAAATTGGATTTGGGAAGTAAAATATGCCTCTCTGTATCACACTTTGCAGGTAGACAGCAAGACTGCAGTGGAGCAATAACTTGTAATCTGCAGTTTTTCGCAATTTTAGCCAAACTAGTGGTTTTAGCAGGAAATTGTTAGTACTTAAAACCATTTTAATAATCAGATTTAATTTCACTGTACATTCTTTTTGCAGATTGTTAATGGAACAATAAAGCCTCATTTCTACTATTTCTTAACAGGGTTGCCTAATAAGGAAGTTATGCACAAGGGTTAGAATCTGGTATTAATCAATCACATGCATTAACAAAGAGATAATAACTTCTAGAGAGAACTACATTTCTGGGATATAGTATGTGCTGGTTTGTAATGAATAATGACAACTTAAAAACACCACAATAAACTATTTAGTGATTTTGAGCAATTTCATAGATTTTTGTGAAAATTTATTGAGTCCCTTAATTATTTATTATACAACAGGATCTTGGCACTTGGTAAATCTGCTCATTTCAGAGTACCTGACTCACGTGCTGCAATCTTACATGGAAGAAGAGATGGACAAGCCAGCACAAGAAGGAACGGAACAGCTTCCACATGAAATAGTTCAGGAACCAGACTTTGAAACTGTTCTTGACACTTATTCAGCACCGTCAGAGTCTCCTAATATAAATTCTGATCAATTCAGTGACCAAGACCTCAATTTACAAAATATTACTATCAAACCTCTGGGCTTTGAGGTTGATGCGTTAACTGGCAACAAGGTAACTTTCTACTGGAGTCTACAGATTGCATCTGTTCATGCAATCCCCAATGCCTCCCTGCCACCAAAATCAAATAAGATTGTTATCTCTGCTTCTTAACATTTAACACAACAACAACTTGCACTTATACAGCGCCCTCCACGCAGGGTAGCATCTCAGAGCGCTTAGCAGTGGCGGAGCCTGACTCCGAGCCGGGAGAAGGGGGAGGTGGCCCTAAGCACGGGCCAAACAATGCAAGATCCACATTGGCAGATTATTTTTATGACAATGGCACAAATGTGGCACACTGGGATCTTCAGATTTTTATACCTATTGCCAGTCGGAATAAGCTTGTGACATGCACGAGGGCAGCAGTATAGTATCCCTGTGCAACTCTGAGTGATTAGTGCTGCAAGTTCCCCACTGTGAAGGTTTCCCTGCTGATTGAATCAAACTAAAGACAGCACATGTAAAACATCTGGAAGTGTGTCCTTTTCTCTCTGAGGAAAGGATTGTCAATGATCCCCTCAGGGTCAGATAATTAAGGGTTTAAGATACTCGTCTTGGTTTGAGTCTGGTACTGAAGTGCTGCACTGGGAGAGAGCTCCACTGTTAGCAATATTATCCTTTGGATAAGATGTTAAACCCGGGTCCTGTCTGCATGTTCAGCTGGATTTTAAGGATCCCATTACATTATTCAAAAAGAGAAGGCAGTTTCCCGGTGTCCTGGCCAAAACCCACCGAGGTTAATTGGTCATTCACCGGTTATGACCAACTCGTTGCACGTACTAGCAACTTGTTGATCCAAATGGCTGTCATGTTTCGTTATGGGATAAAATTCCTTCTGCGCCTAGATTTACTTTACTCTAAACATGGCATTTTAGAATGTCCAGAATTTAGCAAATTGTTGAATTCACTTTTAACTTTCAAGTTGGTTTCTACAGATTTTAAAAGAGCTTTCAGAAAACTGTCATCAAAATTAAAGCTGTATTTAAGAATCTGCCAAATTCTGGACCCTCTGAAATACTGCATCAATGAAGTATATCAAGACAGGGTGAAATTTCTATGGCCAAGTCTCCATACTTGTCAATGATTACTTTTGACATGATAGAAACCATAGAACTATAGAAATTTACAACATAGAAGGAGGCCATTGGACCCATTGTGACTGTGCTGCTCTTTTAAGAGCAATCTTTTCAGTCCCATTTACCCGCCCTTTTTCCATACTAATGTTTACTCCTTTTTACGTATTTATCTAGTTCCTTTTGAAAGCTAATATGGATTATGCTTCAATCACAACTCCCGGCATGGCATTCCATATCCTAACTATGTGTAAAAAAAATTCTCCTAACCGCCCATTAATTAATTTGCTAACTATCCTAACCAGTGCTCTCCAGTCACTGACTCACCTACCAGTAGAAATAAAGCACTATGAAGAGTTATTTCTTGTAACAGAAGAGAGAAATGTTGCCACTTATTCTATAGATGGAAGAGTTGATTCACTTCTTCCTTCTTCATGTGTCATTGATGCTTGCTGAATATTTTACAATTATGTAACTAGTGCATTCAAACCATCTTAATTACTGTAAATTGTGTGATTATTTCTTCCAGGTAATTCAGGTTTTGGTTGAAGATGAAGCAACTAAGAGCGTTCTTAAATTGAGCTTGCCAATAGGGAAGAAAGCAGTCGTCACTTTAAAAAATGGTCAGATGTTTGAGATCCACACCTCAAAGATGCAGCAGAACATCACTGGTGATATGCAAGCATAATAATTTGAATATTAATTTAAAAGTGCCTGAGCATGATTTTCACAAAGATAGCATGTAGGAGCATAGATTAGTTCAGTTTGCATTGATCGCTAAAAATATTCATCTAGAAACATAATGTTTTTGTTATTTTAATTTGAAGTGGAGCTAGTAATTGGAGAGTGAAAGGATTACAAAGCAATTTATTCTGTGGAATTCCAATGATTCTGAATGGAGAGATACGATTCTCTGCAATGGGAACATTGAATCCTTTAGTCCAATCTCGCTCAGCCTCATAGATTAACATTGCACTGCAGTTTCTTTCTGCCTTTGTCATCGATGTAACCAGCTGGTGTAAACAAAATGTTATTTAATTAAAAACAATTACAACATGAATTATCCTTATTTACTTCAGCAACTATCATTAAATGGATGGGTTTGGTTTTATTGATCTGATTTTTTAAAAAAAGTTAAAGCACGTCAATCAATCAATTGTCATTGCAGTTAACTGCACACACCACGAGATTCTGGATCAATCCTGAGACTTTCTGTATGACTCAGTCTTACACTAAGCAGTGGCTTTAGCAATTGAAGCAGCGGAGAAGCCCCACCTCAGTGCCCCCATGCTTTTTATTGATTAATTCAATTAAATCTTAGTCCTTGACACTTTAATCTTGTTTTGATCTTCACCAAAGAACAAGTTTTACCCACAGTCCATCCGTTTTACCGTATATCCTGTGAATCACTTTGAGACATCTCGACGATATAAGGCGCTATATCAAATGCAAGGATTATTATTATCGTTATACAGGCTCCTCTTAATCAGTCACCTCCCAAATATCAACAGCATCCTTTCTACTTTTGCCTGACATCATAATTTGTTAAAATTGGAAAGTTTTCAGAATGCTGCAACTAAAATGCTGTCAATGTACATCTGCAGCATCCACATGGTCAGATACAATAATAGACATTTGATATTATTTATACAAAGTGAAATGTTTAATTTAAAACAGCAATATTTACGATGATATGAGTTATTATTGAGTCACAGAGACCAAGGTAACAAAGGAGGCTGCAGCTCATTTTCTACTAAAGGTATTGTGCAGAATGCTCAGTCAGGGTTTTGCAGCTCAACATACAATGCAAATCACATGGGCAGGTGGGATGTTGAGCAAGCAGACAGGCAAATACTGGAAAACAATCCCTCTTTAATCACAATTTCCTTTGCAGACGTTTGATCCTTTTATTTTAAAAGCACATCTATCCCCTTTGGGTAGTGAAAAATAAATGCTACATAACGGGAGGACAAGTTTGCATGGCTATAGCGAGAGAGTAGAGGAGTGGGATTGATTTGGATAATTCTTTTAAAAGAGCTGGCACAGACATGATGGGCCGAATGGCCTCCTTCTGTGCTGTATAATTCTATGATTCTTTAGATTTCTATTTTTTTAAATCTATTAGAAAGGCAGATATTTCCAATGGTGTCAGAAGAGATTTGTTAAACAAGGATCATGTTTTAATAGATTTTTTTTAATGGAAGTCTCGGTTCATGTATATGTCAATTTTTAGAAGGCTTTTCATAAGAAACTAGTTGAGAAAATGAAGGCACATGTATTACAGGAATTTGTTACAAAAATGGCAGCAACAACTTGCATATGTATAGCACCTTACACATGGGGTAAAGTCTTGAAGAACTTAACAGTAGCAGAAATGGGAAGAGAGGGGAGGACACCATAGGCACAGTCAAAGAGAATGGTCTTAAGGTGCAATATGAAGATGGGCAAGAAAGGTGGAGGGATTGAAGCATAGAGTTTCGTGACATAGTGGAAGGGACAAGGGATGTGTAGAAGGCTGGAGCCAGCTGAGTGAAGGGGGCAGGTAGAGGAGTTGGAGGTAAGCAGGTTGGAGAGATAGGGAGGTGTTAGAGTGTTAGCATTTATGGAGTAAGACATATGTAAGAGATAGAATAAAAGACAAAAGAGTAGGGATAACTAATATTTCTTGGATTTAGGAGATGTACTTGGTGGCATGCCCTAGAGAATTTCTGTGGTGGGGCTTTTTTTTTGTTTTCTATCTATATTGATTTGGGAATAGGGTTTGCTATTGCTGGTACCAAGTAAGGAGGTATGACAAACTGTGCAGAAGTATGCAGGAAACTGCAGAAGAACATAGCAGAATAAGCAGAGAGGAGGTAGATTCAGTTCAACGGTAGGAAATGGCAAGTATTCAAGAATATACTCCCTTCAAGTTTTGAATTGTGTCATTGGATCTTTATAACGTCCATCGGATCTCGGTTTAACATCTCATCCAAGGGCCGGTACTTCCATGGGCACTCCCTCCCCCCAGTACTGTACTGAAGTGTCAGGCGAGATTGTTGGCTTGAAGTCCTGACCTACTTGAACCCACTAACTTGTAACTTGGAGACAAGAGCGCTACCAACTGAGTCATTCTAGCACCGAGGTTACCAGTGGCCCCAGAAGAAAAGCAGGTCTATCTAATAAACATCACACTATTGTTAAAAGCAGAGTAACAATGGCAGAGTGTGAGGCACTAATGTAGTAATAAGCACATCGATAGGATATTCTGTGACATTTTTCTAAAACACTCTTTAAACATAAAGAAGTTCGCATTTTTGGCACAATTGCATCTTTGAAACACAACCCCGGGAGGAAGCAAACGGTTGCAAAGAAGCAAGTTATTGCCATCATTTTCAGAAGGCTGCGACTGAAACATTGCCGACCAATATTTGCATCATCCGGACGGTCAGATACAACAGCAGATATTTGATATTTGCCGCATTTATACGAAGCGAAGGGCTGAATTAATTAATTGGAAACAGCAAATATTTACGACGATGTGAGCTATCGTTAAATCACAAGGGGCCAAATCTGCAAAAAGTGTCTGGGGGGGTGGGGGGGTGGGGTGGAGGCTGCAGCTGAGTTTCCCCCCACCACAGGGTTTTGCAGCTCAACGTCCAATGCAACTCCCCGGGGGCGGGCGAGGTGGGCAGCAAATACAGCCGTGAAAACACCGGAGGAGGACCATCACCCTCTTTCGATCTCAATTTGCTTTGCAGCTCGTCTGATCCTCGATTGACCCACACACACAACAACACACACACACACAACAACACACACACACACACACACACACACACACAACACACACACACACACAACAACACACACACACACACAACAACACACACACACACACAACAACACACACACACACAACAACACACACACAACACACACAACAACACACACACACAACAACACACACACACACAACAACACACACACACAACAACACACACACAACAACAACACACACAACAACAACACACACACACACAACAACACACACACAACAACACACACACACAACAACAACACACACAACAACAACACACACACAACACACACACAACAACACACACACACAACAACACACACACACACACAACAACACACACACACAACAACACACACACACAACAACACACACACACACACACACAACAACACACACACACACACAACAACACACACAACACACACAACAACACACACACAACAACACACACACACAACAACACACACACACAACAACACACACAACAACACAACAACAACACACAACAACACACACACCGGAGAGAGAAGAGATTGGGTGAGAAAAGCAAAACCAAAAGGCTTTTCGCCTCGGTCAGCAGATGGTGCTCCTGTACAAATTGCAGCCCCAGTTATCCCCCCATCACCACCACCATCACCACCACCACCATCACCACACCCACACCAGGAAGCCTTGGGGACTGTTTGACCTGCAGAAGCGCCGCTGGATGGACCATGTCTGCGTGCGGTCTGATCTCCATCGCCCTCCTGGTCTGGACGCTGCGCCTCTCCAGCGGTTACGTGCTCGTTAACTCTGTGTCCTGGGCACCGGCCAACCGGGAGGAGACGGTCTCCAACGAGGAGGAGGTGGAGGCGCTGCCCAACCGCCTGTTCGAGAGCGGCAGCAGCATCTGGAAAGCCTCCTACCCCTCCGTGGGGTACCGGCGGGAGGAGGTCCCCGGCGTGGCCGAGCTGCCCAGTCCCAAGGAGGTCCTCAGCTTCCCCTCTCGCATGTTTTCTTACCGCAGAGAAGGAGGGAGAGGGAAGGAGTCGGAGCAGAGTGATCCCCCCCCTCCTCCTCCTCCTCCTCCTCCCGAGGAGAGAGCCCGCACAGCCCGTCACATCATCACCTCCTCCAGCAAAGGCTTCCTGGCCACCCTCTCCTCCCTTGACCAGGTACCAGCCAGTCAGCCCTGCCCTGACTGTGCAGCTTGTTACCCCTTCAACCATTTTATGAAACTTGGGAACACTCTTACTCTTATGTCTCCGCCTTGGCCCCTCCGCCTTCTCCATCTTCAGGTCGCGCCTCATAGACCTTCCTCTTTGACCGCGCCGACGGTCATCTCCCCCGCCCCGCCCCGCCCCGGGCGGCTCGGCATCGAGCTCGGCCACTGTCAAGCGCTCTGGGAGGACGCTGCCCTGCGCTTCGTGTTTTTTTCATTTGTGCAAAGATGTTTGGTACACTACTTGCGCTCACAAACAGTGGTGAACGTGGAAAGAGAAGGTGGAACTGGGCACCGGAAGATGTGGTTGAAGCAGAAAGCGTCAGTGCATTTAAAAAGAAACTCTGCGTGGGCATGAGGGAGAAAGGAATAAACAGATATAGGAATAATAATAATAATAATAATAATCCTTGCATTTGATATAGCGCTTTTCACGTCGGGAGGACGTCCCAAAGCGCTTCACAGAATATACTGTAAAGTGAATTGACTGTATATTTGTGGGCGAACGCGGCAGCCAATTGCGCACAGCAATGTCCTACAAACAGTCGTAGATTGAAAATGACCAATTTATTATTGTTTTTGGTTTTGGAGGGATTATTATTAGGCATGTGGAGTAAGGATAATTATTGATGCAATTTTATCTCCTTCTGAGATATATCGCAGATATATTGATATATATAAACCAATATGGGAGAGGAGATGGTGAGGGAGAGGGTTGGGGAAAGGCTCATGTGGAGTATAAATACCAACACAGACTAGTTGGGCCAAATAGCTTGTTTCGCTGATGTACAGTTTATGTAATTCTATATAATGTAAATGTTGTTTAGTATTTTGAGCACTTAAAGACATGACCAATTAATAAATTTAGGGTGTGGAATCTTACATTTGATTGCTGCCATTCTTAAATGGTCGTAATGGGATCAACGAGTGTAATTATTTGTGACAGGAACATGGAACTTGTTATTTTTCTAGAAGGGATTTGTCTGCAGTATTTACTTTGCTTCAATCTCACCCAGGTAACCTCACCCTATACACTATGTCTGGGCATATTTCCTGTATGGATCAACTGAATTGCATGTCATCGCTTGAAAAACATAAAAAGTAATGTTCCTTTTACCAGATTTGTAGACTAAGAATTAATTAGTATTGTACTACACTACCACTACAGCTTCTATGTGATCAACATAAACATACATGAAGCGTAGCTGGTACTTGCAGTTTGTCCCCTATAATCTGCTACAATGGATTGAGTTGCAGTGAACGATTCTATTAAATAGTTCAATGCTACTTCTCCAAAAAATTAACTGACCTCGTAAGTTTTTAGAACTATATTTTCATTGTGCATACAAAACCTTTTAACAGGGACAAAGAAAAGATTGTGGGCATTTCTTAACATTGCATAAATGTTATAATAATATAATATTTCTTGCATTTGATAGTGCCTGATCACATCTTCGAGGTATCTCAAAGCGCTTCACAGAATATACTGTAAAGTGAATTGAGTGACCAAATTATTTTCGTTTACATTTTTTTAAGGGATTATAACCCTCGGAAAAGCAATCTGCCAATCAACTAACAACCAGGTTCCTACTTACTGCTAGGTAAACAGGGGGGAGGAGTTTCCGGATCCAAACCTCACCTGACATCTACCTGATACATTTATTTTCCAACAAGAATAAATGGATAATGAATAGGAGTAAACTATCAAAATGTCTTTTAATGATTTGAACACGAGTGTGAGGATCTTGAAGTCGATCCGTTCGGTGATGGGGAGTCTGGCCAGAACTGGCGAGATGTGGCGTTTGGTCCGGGTCAGTATGCGGGCGGCAGAGTTTTGAATGAGCTGGAGTGATGGAGCTGGGGAGACCAGCGAGGAGTGTGTTGGAGTAATCCAAGCGGGAGATGACAAACGCATGAACCTTCTAACCAAAGAAGAACTTCCTAGTATCTGTCCTGAAATTACCCTTTACACTATGTTGTCTTGTTCTACTGTCTTGTTTCATTCTGAAGTATTGAGCTAGGTTTACTTTTACAATCATATTTAACATTTTATACCAATGTGTTGCTAGATCAAAGGGTTGCCATTTGGAAACATATTTTCAATCAGTGATGGCGTCCCAGACAACAGTACCGGCATTCCTTTCTTCTACGTCACTCCAAAGGACAACTCAGTGTTGGATCTGATGAAAAACCCAAATGCTTCTTTGACACTATCAGAGGCTGAAGGAGATTACTGCAGGTATGCTCACCTCAATATGTTCTCACCACACGTAAGGTCACTGACAGGAGTCAAGCTTAAATGAAATTGCCACAGATGCTGACAAGGGTAGAAAGTAAAAGTGTGCCACTGGTACAGGTCTAAAAGCAGAAAGTTATTCCACTTGACATCCCTGGAGTAGATTAAGCCAAAATAAAATATGCAAAAAGAAGGGTGGTTATAATTTTTTTAAATAAATTTGAATATCTGAAATAAGAACAGAAATGCTGGAAATTAATTTGAAAGAGAAAGGGAACAGTAGTTTAACATTTCATGCATCATGAATGGTCACACCTAATGCACAACCCATTTTTCTCATTTAGATGCCAAATGATCTGCAGTGGATTTTCAGTCATTCTCGAAGCTGCCATGCCTTTGTTTCAGAAGGTTGTGGGTTCAGGTCCACTTTAGGTCTTTTAGTCGAGGCTGACAGTACTGGGGGAGCATTGGTCCTTTGAATGAGGTGTTAAACCAAGGAACAGTTTGCTTCTTCAGGTGCACCAGATATTATTTAAAAAGTGAAGGAATTTTCCTTTGGTGTCCTGGCCAACTATCCGTCAATTAAATATGTCACATCATGACTGTGTGTGGGTTTGGGACCTTTCTGTTTGTAAATTGGCTTCTGCATTTGTCTACAAACACAGTTTTTGCAATTGACAATAAATCCCTGTGAAATGCTTTGAGATGTGTACGACTTTATAAACATCATTCAAATGCAAGGATTTTTGATTATGTTTTTATTTGAAAGAAAACAGTGGCAAATTTAGATGGGGGTGACTAAATAAAAACAAAAATAAAAACAATTTCCACGCATATAATCAAGGCAAAGTAGGTAAAACATTATAAAAGAGACTTTTTTTTTGATCATTGTGACACAAAATCATTACTTTGTTGCAGAAGGTGGATTTTTCAAGAGAAAATCCAGGAAAAGCAAAGGCTTAGTGATCCATAATCTTGACCATGACCTTGTGAAGCCAGAGTAACACGTCCTATTGAATTTACTTGTCTCAGTTAGACAGCTAGTTTCTCTCAAACAAATTTTGTTTCGTGTAACTTGACTTTTTTCTGTATTCTATCTATCTAGAGAGAATCTCATCGCCCCTGAGGATCTAAAGTGTGCCAGGTTGACTCTTACAGGAAAGATGGTGACAGTCTCCCCTGAAGAAGTTGAATTTGCAAAGCAAGCTATGTTCTCAAGGTCTGTTATTTTAGCAAACCACCATTATGTAGGGAGATTAGAAAAGAGCTCCTAATCTCTCTCTTGAAGTCCTGTGTTTATCTATGTTTAGGGAGTCTCTGTTAATTTTGTGCACACCAAAATAATGCAAGACTAACATTTGAACGTACTCTATAAATGGAGAACGGAACCAGTGCCTATATTTTGATACCCAAATTTGTTTTTAAATTCTTAATAGAAATAATTTATGGATAGGGCTGCCAATTATTGGAAAATTCTTAAGAGAATTGTGAAAAAACAGCTTCTAAATTAATACTGAATTTAAGAAATATTCAATTTGTATGACAATATATTGGCTGATTTTCTCTACTTCCTTATTTTTTTAAGTTGTATTCACTTGAGATAATAGCCACATCAATAATACTACATGTACGGTCTATTTGATTCTTTGCTAATATCTGGTCTGTTGCAGATTATTATTATTAATGTAAGGCAACAATAAACAATGAAACATGATGCTGGGCTGTATTGCCAAATGAAGAAGAAACGTTTCATAATATTAATAACCTATTTTAATGAAAAAATTAACAAGGTCAGGTGAGATAAAGAAGACCCTACGGCCCATTTGATCCTATCCTTCCGGAATACTCACCCTCCTGTCCTCCCATTACAGTAATTTCTTAAATGTACTGTTTCTTAAATTACTTCACATTCTTGGTCTCAACCAATCCTTCCTACTCTCAAACACTCTTCCTGGTAGCCTGTTCAAACTATAAATTATTCTCTGCGTAAAGAAATACTTCCATGTATATTTTCTGAAACTGGCTTTTTTGAAACCGTGTCCCTGAAACTCTGCAAGTGCTGCTTTGGATATACTTTCTCAAACCCCTTTAAAGTGTCAGACATCTGAGCCATCTCTTTTTAAGGCTGAAGAGCCCTAATTTGTCCAATCATTGCTCATAATTCTTTTCTCCAACAGTAAGGATCAATACTTTGATAAGTAACAAACTATTTGATTCCTTGTGCTATTTTGGTTCATTTTTGCTTGAAAAATAATGTATCAGATTGAGCAAAATGCTTAGTTCCTTTAGTTATTATTCCCCCATCCCCCTGCGGCTCGCTTCCTCCCTTGCCTCCTTCAAGGCCGGTCTCAAGACCCTCCTCTTCAATCGTGCCTTCGGTCGCCCTCCCACCTCTCTGCCTTCCCTCACCCCTACCCCACCCCTCCCCCGTGCGCGGGTCCTGACCCCTGACTGTCCAGCGCTTTGGGACATCCTCCCGATGTGAAAGGCACTCTATAAATCTAATTTTGTTGTTGTTGTGATTAGCACCTAGGTGTTCAACGAACAGGCTACATATTCAGTGCTGACTACAGTAAACCGATAACTCGACCCTGGCTTAACTTGTCGTTACCACTTTAGTCATTAAGTTGTCAACACTCCGGCCATATTTATTTATGTATTTATACATATGCCTAACTCGCCACTCTGGATACCTTGTCACTGAGCCTCTTTCCTTTGGAGTGACGAGTTATCAGGAGTTTGCTGTATTTGTTTTATAAGTTATCGAAAATGATTGAGACTAAACAAAACTATCATTTCTTTGGCCAAAAATAACACAGATTCGTCACACAGAAGTTGCAAAGCATTAATTGTAAAATGAACACATTAAAATTGAAGGATTATAACATTACATAGTCTGAAGTTGTCAGAGCACTGAATTGAGAGATTCATTTTATTGATTAGTCAAGGTCTGTTCATTCATGGTAGCCTGTTCAATTGTGATGTCTCAGTTTTTCGTTCAGCATCTGATTTTCTGTACTTGAATGAGTGAAGGGGGTAGTTGGGAGGGGATGTGTGTGTGTCTTTCAATAGACTGCATGTGCTGTTGTATAATCCCTCAAGAAAAAAAAGCAATAAAAATTGGTCACTTCAATCCACGACTGTTTGTGGGACAGTGCTGTGTGCAATTGGCTGCCCCACTGTCTCTGTCATTTTCATTTGTTATTTTTTACTGTTATTTTGACTTTGTTACATTGCTTGTTCGTATTGCAGTATAATGAGCCTCACGCATGTTAGCTCCTGCACCCAGTCAGCCCAGTGATGCCAGTTATTTGAACACTCCCTTTGTTGCAATGAGTAGTGATGACATAAAGTCTCCCTCTGTTGCGATGAGTAGTGATAACATAAAGGTTGCTGACCCAACTGCCTCTCATTCCAGCAAACATTAAAATGAAGCACAGGCAGGTATCAAAGGCCGTTCCAAACACTCAAAGCATTCAACAATGAATCAAAAAGTTAGTTAATGATTTCAATGTGTATTTATATTGTTTGTTTTGTAAAACAAATATTTTGATCGCTGCAACTACAGTTGAACAGTTCAGAAATGTGGGTAGTTGGTGGACCATTTTGGAAAGAAACATTGTTTAAAAGGGCACTTTCAAATTGGTAATGACATTCTGCATAGTAAAATGTATTAAAAGCTATTCCACTTTTTTTCATTGCCTCTATGTGTTTTGTAGGCAGAATAATTGGAAGTGTTTCAATATTTTATAATACACAGAAAATTTACTTAATAATCTTAACAATTGCTTTAGGTCAACAGCCAGAATTGCCACTGAATATTAATGTGTGATAACTGCAACAGGCCCAAGTTAGTAGTGAGAAGAGAGAATTCTGAGTAATGTATTATATTTGCTGAGTTATAACTGTTTGTGCCAACAGGCATCCAGTGATGAAAATGTGGCCTCCAGACCACGATTGNTTTTTTATGAAAATGGATATTCAGCAGATTTGGCTCCAGAATTGGTTTGGAGGAGTGTCTGTCATTCCGCTAGAAGAATACTTCAAGAAAAGCCCAAGAAAAGTTGAATGAATAGGTTGCCACAGGAATGTTTTTTTCTGTTAAACAGAATTTTTTTCTTTTGTCCACTGCTTGTGTTTTCAGGGTGAAAAAGTTTTGTTATTCATATTTGATGCATGTTAGTTGACTCCAAGGGAAAGGCACTGCACCATATAATGTAATATGGACAATTTATCTTCCCCTGGCCTAGTTCTGTTTTAAATTCATGTCATTGATGATCAAATCGGTGTGGATACTCCACATGAAATGCTGTGAGAAGCTTCCTGCAGAGCTGCCAAACCTCAATCGAAGTTTTCCAACGCAAGATTGCAGTTGGAAACTACAAGTTATTTTGATTGTGTTCTTCTGCTCATTTTATTCAGATTTCTTTTAATCACCACATTTCAAATGCTATTAATACGCTGCCTTATTCCTACCCCAAGATGGTGTGCAGCTTTACTGTTTTCAGTAATTCGTGTTGTAACCTGATTCTTTCTGAATTTGTGCATTTCAACTGTTTGTTTTACACTAGTTTTTGTGATCACGGGGATACAAAAGAGCCCCTGACAGGTCGTTTGTTATTAACAGCAATGTATGAATGTTTGCTTGTGATCAAAACTAATCCTGTTTTATTGATCAAATAGGGACAATCCGCTGCTGAGCCATGATACAAGCAGTCGATACTACGTCTTAATTCAGATCTTAATAATACACAACCATTGTTGGCCAGGCTCAGCTGTCACATGGATGATCTGTGTTATTACATGGTTGTATTAAAATTTGAAATAACTGAGCATGTTTCACTGTCTGCTGAATGATTTTAAAATGTGAAATTTAAATTCACTGTGAGCTAATTTGCGTGCAAAATAAGTTAGCAATAAAGTTGCATGAATCTAGATAATGGAAGGGTAAGAAGATGCACAAATTAATTTTACTTAGCGATTGCTCACGTCCTTTTGACTGTCAGTTGAACCATGTAATTAACATTTTAAAATGAATGATGTGAGTAAGCACGGTGCATTAGGATGCTAAATTATTTAAGAATTATTTCTATTGTTGGTTACATTTCCACTGATGGTTAAAAGCCTGGTTTCTGATTGTGGTTACGTAGTTCGAGAATTCCCGCTGATCTGTTTTACTTTACACTAGTTTTTGCTGGTATCCTGAGTGTAACAGGAAAAACTGCTGCCCACAGTCATATTGATATTGAGGTCTATCAAATACTAATTCCTAATCTTGGGAGTGCTGTAGCATATTCGTTAGAGCCCATGCTTCACAAGCGAGAGGAGCTGGCTTTGATTCCTGGGCAGGGTGAAACCTTAGGCATGTTTCCTTACTCCATACGCTTCTGTTTACCTGTTTACCTACCTCACTCAATCCACAACTGTTTGTGGGACATTGTTAAGCGCAATTGGCTGCCCCATTTTGTTCTCAAAATATACAATCAATTCATTTTACAATATGCAGTATTCTGTGAACTGCTTTGAGATGTTAAACATTATGAGCCACTATCAAATACAAGAATTATTATTATAATACAGTATTAACGATCTTTTTGTTAAATGTTTATAGAGATCAGGGGTGTTAGCAATTAGTATGTGATAGGACCCTCATCAATCATCTGCAATGTTCTGAGTGCTTCAACATTGGCCTTGAAATGTACTTTCTCACAGAAAAATCTGCATATTGAGGAAGTTACTTGTAAAACACCAGCTATTTTATAATGTTGCTTCCAGGATTGATATTAATGTGAAGTTTCATGCTAAGTTAATTTGCCAATAGGCACTGGGCTAATACACAGAGGGTAAAAATGATGCATAAGTGGGGATGTTTTTAATTTCTCTGCTTGGGAGCTAATTCAAAGCAAATTTAACCCAAACTTTAGTTAATTTAGAAGAATTCTATCTGAGGATGAGAATCATTGACAATGTTTTTGAACCTAATCTATTTCTTGCAAATATCCTGGAAGCTAAAGTCATAGAGCATCTTGTCACAGAATTGCCTGAAAGGGCCTCATGAGGAAATAATATTCAAATATTAAGGTGTTATCTCTACATGCAATGTGTCGCTAAGGTTTAATCATCTGAGTTTAAGCTGAATCATGCTCAAATATGGCTTGCAAAAATGCCACATCACATTACAAGGGACCCAGTGTACATTACTAATAATTGAAGTGTTTTTGAACCTAAAATAAGATACAAAAGAGATTATTCTTATCAAATGCCAATACATAGCTGAGCAAAAATGATTTGGCCGTCAGTCACAACTTGCTGGTATTGTTTAAAATTCAGAGTTAACCGACCAGGCTGGAGCCAAAATATGTTAACTTCTAATAACAAACTTCAATTTTCCATTTCTCAACATGAAGATAACAGAAATGTCTACATGGAGTATAGGAATAACTATCCGTAATCATTTCACTTATTTATTGTCACTTAACCATGTTTCCAGGACCACAAATGATGATTGTTTGCATTCTCCAATCTTCAAACCAAGGTTTTTTGTTTGAATTTTTGTATTCATTAAAATGAGTCAGTATTTGTACATGAAGTACACATACTTAAGATCCAATGCCATCATCAAGTATGCTGAGGTCAGCTTCAAAATAGCTAAAACCTATTTGAAAGCTCCCTCTGCCTTCAAACATCTTCCTTGATGCAATCCCAGCATACACTATTGAACCTATTGCACAATAGCACAGCCTTTGGAGTGATTCTGCCAATTTATGCCAGTTTAGGCAGCTATGGACTTGTATTCTTAAGGCATTCATCAGAGCTTCACCCAGAAGGGGAAAAACATATTCATCTCATATAGTCTAGAAATTTATTCAAATCCAGGTCCTGGAGATAAAAAAATGCTTTCTATGCCATGAAGCCACCTAGTCACCTAAACTATTTCATACTAACCAAAAAATATTTATAAATAGTAAGTCAACACTAAATTAACAGAACAGTATAATGATTGGAATATTTTTTATAAAGGAAAGCCTCAGGGCACGAACAACCCTTTTAAGGTTTGCTTAGAATAATAATTATCCTTGCATTTGATAGAGTGCCTTATCATGTCTTTGAGATGTCTCAAAGCACTTTTATTGTAAAGTGAATTGACTGCTTATTTTGTGGGCTAACCATGGCAGCCAATTGGGCACAACAGTGTCCCACAAATAGTCATGGACTGAGTGACCAAATTCTTAAAAAAAATTTTTTAAGGGATTATTGTCCCCGGAAAAGCCAATCGATTAACAACCGGGTTCCTACTTACTGATAGGTAACACAGGTGTATAGAGCAAGGAAACTTCCCTAACGTTTCGGCATGCCCGGAAATCGAACCCAGGTCCTTGCGCTTGCAAGGCGTGTGCTCTAACCAATACTTTACTGCACTCAATGTATTGCTTATTTGATAAATACAAAGTGGCAAGTACTGAAGGCCTTCAGCGAGCTCCATATTTTGACATTTGAGAAATCGTTGGTAAAGCAATACAATGTAATTTGACCTTCAAACAGATAAACCAACACAAGTGAATATCCTTATTAGCATTTGGTCAAACATTGTTTTCTCAGTAGCTGTTGTATACATCAAACAGATTTTATTGAGTTTTAGCGAGTATCATAACTCAGCAAATAATATGTAGTCATTTGGAGAAGGAAAATTAAAAGCAGCTGGCCTGGATTTACAAAAGGTAAGTCATGCTTGACCTACCTTATTGAAATCGTTGAAGTAGGTAAGGGAAATTCAGTGGATGTATTGTATCTGGATTTCCAGAAAGCTTTTGATAAAATGCCACATGAGAGGTTCATGATTAAACAGGGACAGGTGGAATTGTGGAAGAGGAAGCAGAATGGATTAAAGAATGGTTAGGAGACCAAAAGCAAAGGGCAGGAGTTAACGGTATCTTCTCGGGCTGGAAAGGAGTAGCAAATGGTGTTCTGCAGGAATCAGTGTTAGGTCCGCCACTGTTCAGCATAGACATAAATGATTTGGATTCAGGTATAGATAGTGTGGTATCAAAATTTACAGATAACACAGGAGTGTGTGGGTGTGTAATAACAGTGAAGATGATTGTAGAAGAATGCAGGAAGACAAGCAGCCTGGACAGATAGATGGCAAATGAAGTTTAATGTAGGAAAATACAAAGTAACTCACTTTGGCAGCAAAAATAAAGAAGCTGTCTATAGTCTACATATAGAGCCATACCAGGTGGTTGAGACATCTGAAAGCACTTGACAGAATATACTTTAAAGTGGATTGACTGTATATTTTGTGGGCAAAATAGGCCTTAAAAGAAAGGCCAATGGGATCTTGGGCTTTATATCGAGAGGGCTAGAATATAAAAGTGAGCATGTGATGTTGAATCCAGACAAAATCTTGGTTAGATCACATTTGGAGTATGGGATCCAATTCTGGTCTCCATACTATAGAAAGTTGATGGAAAGAGTACAGAGTAGGATTGCAATTACGAGGATAATACTAGTGCTGGCAGGTTACTGCGATCAAGATAGACTGGATAGGTTGGGCCTTTTTTCACTGGAGGAGAGACTTTTAAGGGAGACCTAATAGGTGTTTAAAATTATAAAAGGGTTCAACAAGATTAACATAAATACGCTGTTTCCTCTAGTTGGGGTGTCCGTAATCAGGGGACACAAATATAAGATAGTGACTGGGGATCAATAATAAGTACAGAATTTATGAGGAACTATAACAACATACAACTTGCATCTATATAGCACATGTCATGTTGGGAGGATGTTAGATTGTGTAACTCGCTGCCTAAAGCGATGATTGAATCAGATAGTATAGATGCATTCATGAGAAAATTTAGTCCTTCACATGAGTGAGAAATAAATGGAGCAGTAAGGAAGTAAAGGAATGGGTGGAAACTCTGTGGTGTATAAACACTGGCACAGACAGATTGGGCCGAGTGGACTGTTTCTGTGTTGTACATTCTTTGTAAATCTTGCATTTAATAATAGTTCCTATAATGTTGAAATATCTCACAGTACTTGAGAGTACTTGAGAGTCAAGTAAGTGTTATCAAGTATAATCACTATGTTTGTAGCCATTTTGTGCACAGCAAAACTCCATAAACAGGCATGAAATGGATGAGCAATTTATGTAGAGGATTGTTGCCAAGGGTGGCTGTTGAAGCATTTGGGGCATTTAAAATGGAATTTGACAGGTACATGCAGATGAAAGTAGCATTTACAAACTAGAAACACTGATTGTCCAGCGCCTTGGGACGTCCTCCCGACGTGAAAGACACTATACAAATGTAATTTTGTTGTTGTAGAAGTCACTACTTGGCAAGAAAAGTACGAGCCCAAAGGCCAGCAATAATAATTTTCTAGACCTCCTGTTAATACTGTACTTCTCAGGACTTCTAGATCAAGATATTTTTAAGCAAATTTGATAGTGAATTCCAAAATACCAGTCAACAGATAAAAGTACAGTAACTCCCAAATGTCAAATGTCAAATTTTCAACCCCAATGTCATCAGTTGCCAAAATATAACTATATATGCTGATCCTGTAAGACAGCATGATACAATTTGCCTATAACCAATCATTCTTGCATTCTTCATTTCCAAATAATCAAACACAGCTTCCAAAATCTCATCATCTTCAAGAAATAAATGTTTGGCAAAACTCTTGGTTTGTTTGCAAATAATATGTATCACTTGTGTGTGACTTATTTGCAACAAAAAGCGAAGTACTGTACAACTTTTCTGACTCTTCGTTTTGGTACATAAGGTCACACAAAGCTGGGACATTCTGTGATTCACGAGAGATACAACCAAGGAGCAAAGATAGATAATACTATCTTTGAAAGATAAATAATACTATAGTTTATTTTACAAATCTTAAGGCAATTAGTTAATTTGTACGTATCAAGGAACTGGGAGGGAAAGACAGTGAAAGAGAGAATTAAAACATAGCTAGGTTGTAAAGAGAGAGAAATAGAGGAAATGAGCCACAAACAGCACATATGGAGAGAAACTAAGCCAGTAATAAGACAGAAAGCGAGAAAAAAAACAGCCAAAACTGAGAGAGAAACTCAGACTGAACCAGAATCACAAGGTTTACCACAGTCTATGGCTAACCCATAGACTGAAAGTCTTACATACATACACACACACACTCACTCACAGACTGAGTCTCACACACACAATCTCACTCACAGACTGAGAATCTCATGCTCACTGACTGAGTTTCTTACACGCTCACTCACTAACTGAGAATCCCTCATATTCACTGACTGACGGTCTCACACACTCACTGAGAGTCAGTTTCTCACTCACTCACTCACTCACTCACTGAGAGTCAGTCAGTCTGTAACTTAATCACTTACTCAGTCTCTCACACACTGACTGAGTCAGTCACCCACTCACTGAGAGTCGGTTACTCACTCACTCACTGAGAGTCGGTCTCACACACTCACTGAGAGTCAGTCAGTTACTCACTCACTCAGGGAGTCAGTCTCTCACACATTCACTGAGAGTCAGTCACTCACACACTCACTGAGTCAGTCACTCACACACTCACTGAGAGTCAGTCAATCAGTCACTCACTCACTGAGGGTCAGTCACTCACACACTCACTGAGAGGGAGTCACACACATACTCAGAGTCAGTCACACACACTCACTGAGAGTCAGTCAATCAATCACTCACTCACTGAGGGTCACTCACTCACACTCACTGAGGGTCAGTCACTCACACACTCACTGAGTGTCAGTCTCTCACACACTCACTGAGTGTCAGTCTCTCACACACTCACTGAGTCAGTCAGTCACTCACTGAGAGTCGACAGTCAGTCACTCACTCACTGAGATTCAGCCAGTCACTCACTGAGAGTCACTCACTCACTCACTGAGAGTCAGACAGTCAGTCACTCAGTCACTCACTCATTGAGATTCAGTCAGTCACTCACTGAGAGTCAGTCAGTCAGTCAGTCACTCACTGAGATTCAATCAGTCACTCACTGAGAGTCAGTCAAGTCAGTCACTCACTGAGAGTCAGTCGGTCAGTCAGTCACTCACTGAGAGTCAGTCACTCACTCACTGAGAGTCAGTCACTCACTCACTGAGAGTCAGTCGCTCACTCACTGAATCACTCACTCACTGACTGACTTGACTGGCTGAGTCTCTCTCACTGGCTGAGTCTCTCACACACTGACTGACTGAGCTGCTCTCTCTCACTGACTGACTGAGTCTCTTACTCACTGACTGACTGAGCTGCTCTCTCTCTCTCTCTCTCTCTCACTCACTGACTGACTGAGTCTCTCTCTCACTGACTGACTGAGTCTCTTACTCACTGACTGACTGAGCTGCTCTCTCTCTCTCTCTCACACACTGACTGACTGAGTCTCTCTCTCACTGACTGACTGAGTCTCTCTCTCACTGACTGACTGAGTCTCTCTCTCACTGACTGAGTCTCTCTCACTCACTGAGTCTCTCACTCACTTACTGACTGAGTCTGTCTCTCTCACTGACTGACTGAGTCTCTCTCTCACTGACTGAGTCTCTCTCTCACTGACTGAGTCTGTCTCTCTCACTCACTGACTGAGTCTCTCTCTCACTGACTGAGTCTGTCTCTCTCACTCACTGACTGAGTCTCTCACTCACTTACTGACTGAGTCTCTCTCTCACTGACTGAGTCTCTCTCTCTCTCACTGACTGACTGAGTCTCTCACTCACTCACTGACTAAGTCTCTCTCTCACTGACTGACTTGAGTCTCTCTCTCACTGACTGACTGAGTCACTGACTGACTGACTGACTGAGAGTGACTCACACACTGACTGACAGTTGGGAGCCGTTGACTCCCTCACAGGTCGGGACACAGACACTGAGTCACAGACTAAGTCACTGACGGACACAGAGGTTGGGCGGGACGTGCTGAGCGGAGGCTCAGAGTGAGCTCGAGCCGCTGAGAGGCAGTCGGACACCCGGACGCTGGGAGCCGCTGACATGGCAGGAGCCGCGCTGGGCGGCAGCCGGAGCCTGGAGGAGGCGAGGCCGGGGCTCCGGGCGCTGCTGCTGCTGCTGCTGGGCCTGGGCTCCGGCCTGGGCTCGGGTCCGGCCTCCGTGTCGGGCCGCACCACCGAGTGGTACACGGCCTTCGTGAGCACCGCCTACCTGGAGCCCGTCACCAACATCACCCTGTCAGCCAACGCCGAGAGCGGCAGGTGAGGGGCCGGGGAGAGGGGGGGAGAGAGGGGGGGGGAGAGGTGGGGGGGGACAGAGAGGGAGAGGGGGGGGAGAGAGGGGGGGAGGGAGAGAGAGAGAGGAGGGGGGAAGGAGGAGGGAGGGAGAGGAAGGGGCAAGAGAGGGAGAGGGGGAGAGAGAGAGAGGAGGGGGGGGGAGGGAGAGAGAAGTGGGGACAGAGAGGGAGGGGGGGGGAGAGAGGGGGGGGGACAGAGAGGTGGGGGACAGAGAGGGAGAGGGGGGGGGAGAGAGGTGGGGGGGGGGACAGAGAGGGAGAGGGGGGGGAGAGAGGTGGGGGGGGGACAGAGAGGGAGAGGGGGGGAGAGGGGGGGGAGAGGGGGGGGACAGAGAGGGAGGGGGGGAGAGAGGGGGGGGACAGAGAGGTGGGGGACAGAGAGGGAGAGGGGGGGGGAGAGAGGTGGGGGGGGACAGAGAGGGAGAGGGGGGGAGAGAGGGAGAGGAGGGGGAGAGGGGGGGGACAGAGATGGGGAGAGGGTGGGGAGAGAGGTGGGGGGGGGACAGAGAGGGAGAGGGGGGGAGAGGGGGGGACAGAGAGGGAGAGGGGGGGACAGAGAGGGGGGGGTGACAGAGAGGGAGAGGGGGTGACAGAGAGGGAGAGTGGGGGGACAGAGAGGGAGAGAGGGGGGAGAGAGGGGGGGGGACAGAGAGGGAGAGGGGGGAGAGAGGGGGGGGGACAGAGAGGGAGAGGGGGGGGACAGAGAGGGAGAGGGGGGGGTGACAGAGAGGGAGAGGGGGTGACAGAGAGGGAGAGGGGAGGGAGAGAGAAGTGGGGGCACAGAGGGAGAGGGGGGAGAGAGGGGGGGAGAGGGGAGGGAGAGGGGAGAGAGAGAGGAAGGGGGAGGGAGAGAGGTGGGGGGGGGACAGAGAGGGGGAGAGAGAGAGGAGGGGGGACAGAGAGGGAGAGGGGACAGAGAGGGAGAGGGGGGGAGAGAGAGGAGGGGGACAGAGAGGGAGAGGGGGGAGAGAGAGAGGAGGGGTGAGAGAGGAGGGAGGGAGAGGAAGGGGGAAGAGAGGAGAGGGGAGAGAGAGAAGAGGGAGGGGGGGGGAGGAGGGAGAACTGGGGAGAGGGAGAGGAGGTGGTGGGGGGTGAGAGGGGAATGGGAAGAGAGGGAATTGAGGGGAGGGGGAGAGAGTTGAGGGGATGAGAGAGAAGAGGGGAAGAAGGAGTGATGAGGGGTTGAGATGGGAGGTGGGTGGGGGGGGGAAGGAAGGAGGAAAGGGAGTGGGGGGGAGAGGGAATGGAGGAGAAGAGAGAGAGGAGGAGGAGGAGGGGAAGGTGGTGAAAGTGGGATGATGGGGGGGAAGAGAGAGGTGAAAGGAGGCCGCAGTTGTGCTTAGTAAGAGTTGGGTATTTGTTATTAAAATTTTATGAAGAGCTTTGAGATGTCCTCCTAAATGCAAGGATTATTACTATTATTATTATTAATGTGAAACGCGCTATATAAATCTAAATTGTATGGTATTGAATTTGCTCTTCTCTTGTAGGTATGGTGACAGTTCCCCTAAAGATAGCGTGCAAGGCGTGCTTGGGATCCCCAGGAACAACCGAGATCAACTGGGCTGTGATCCCAACACAGAGTACTTTATACCCAGATCTGGGGAGCCGTGGATAGCTCTGGTAGCCAGAGGGAATTGTACTTTCAAGGAGAAGATTTTAATTGCTGCCCAGAAAATGGCCTCTGCAGTGGTGATATACAATTTTATGGGGACTGGGAATGCTACTGTCACCATGAACCATATTGGTAAGATGTCATTTAATAATACTTTATAAAAATAACTATAGGAAGAGAGGAATTGGATTTCGATAGTGCCTCTAATGTCGAAACATCCCAAAATAGGTCACAGTAATTAATGTCAGGCACGGTACCTGGTTGTCGGCAAACAAATCAGCCATTTGCACACAGGAAACGCTCATAAACGGCTAAGAGGTGAGTGACCAATGTATCTAGAGGATTGTTGGCCAGGACGTTGAGAGGAGCTCTCTTCTCTTTTGATTAGTACAAAGGGAACTTTGCATGAAAAGAGAATCCTGCTATACTGACCACAAAGTCCATCAGATACAAATTTTTTCATTCACTGTGGAATATTGCTGTGCTCACATTGGCTGTTGAGTTCATTGACAAAATACACGGTTACTACACTTTACAGTAAATCTTGTGAAGCATTTTGAGATGTCCTGATGACATGTAAACTATATATCAAATGCAAGAACCATTATTAATAATGACATCCATCTGAATAGGCAAATGTGGCAGCTTGGTTTCATGTCTCCTTGGAAGGACGGCACCTTTGACTATAAATTGTTCCCTCAGTACCGCACTGAAGTGTCAGCAAAGACTATGAACTCAAGTCCTGAGTTGGTACTTGACAGTAAATAGCTAAAACAGAAGAGAGAAACAGGAAGAAAGTTTCTCTCAATGTCCTGACCACAATCCCCAAACAAAATTGGTTGTTTGTTTCATGGTTGTTTGAGGGACAGTGCTATGTATCAACTAGGCTGATATTTTTGCCTACAAGTACAGTCACAGTAAATCCAGTGAAGTGCTTTGTCCTCCCAACGGGAAAGGAGCTATACCAAATGCAAGGATTATTATAAAGAAAAGATGTCAAATGGTTACAGAAGAGCTGGGGAGAAAGTTGGTGAGGTGGTGGATGACAGAGCGTGGAAGCAGCTTGGTATTTCTAAAGATGATCATTCTTTACAGGCGAATGTAGGAAAGCTTTATAATTATAAATTTATAATCACAGCAATTATGTGCTGTGAACAAGAGCTGTGAATGTTTTCGTACAAAACTGAAACTTTTGCCCTCTTCAAGGTTTCAGGCAAACCATGTTCTACGTTCTCTCACCAGCAAAAACTTTACTTTTGATTGACATTGATCTTGAACTTCATTCTGTGTGGACTTGATTTCATTCCATTTGTTTGATTTTGACAATGTTTTGTTTTGGTGATCCGGATGAAATTACAGTAGTATCTTTGATTGACTATGACTGAGATTAGAACCTGATCTCTGATTGTGAACCATGATGGATCATGCTTCAATAAAGAGCACTTTCTACAGTGGTAATGCAGTTCTGAGAGTAGGTAATGGGGGCTTGTGCAGGATGCTCTTTTGTAAGATAAACCGATTTGTGAGACTATACCTACCAACACTGCAGCTTCATTTATAAATATTCTGTTCTGGATCACTGAACTTTAGGATCAACTTCAAAAGGCAGTTATATGTAGTGAGTTTGATAGTGGGTATTCTTCAGTCAAAGACAGAGAGATCCTAATAGCTCTAAGAAACAAGGCACAAAATTCAAGACTCCTATTTTGTTTTAACCAATATAATCCCATGGATCTGGTTTATATGGTTAAATGTGCTTACTTGGATGAACCCTATGTAAAGTAATGACACTTTGAGTTGGTTCCAGTTGTTGCCATAATTTGTTTTGTGTAATACTGTAGTTCAAAAGGATGTAAGTAAGATCTGGTTTAGAATCATACAGTAATGTAACTAAGGCAAACTGCTTGAGGCTACTATCTGAAGTCATTCATAATCTTATTTTCAGTACCTCAGGCTGTAGCCTTCCAATTTATGATTTGATTATTAGAAGGGAGCCACTGTGCTACTTTCATTTCTACATCTGTTAAACCTTTTCATTAAATTAGGTTTTCATTTGCATCAATTTGGATAAACTGCAGTTTCTGAAAAGTGTAAGTTAGGTGCATAATACTTTATTAAGATTCACATCATACCACCAGCACAGTCTCTGTGGCTCTGTTTGATTTTGACATTTTTTTTAATTTTGTTGATACAGATGCAATTGCAGTAGTATATTTAAGCCTACTTAAATATCTTTGGAGTGAAGCTGACATGTGTTGCTTTGCAGTTTTGTGCTGTTCTTTGGGGAAAGGGAAATTTACATGCATCTGTGAAACTCTCAGTAGCTTTGTTTGGATATTTTTAAGTATGGTGATACATTTCTGTGTATGTCAGACACCCAACAGATCAAAAAAAAGTGTATGCGTGTTGTGTCTTGTTGGCTGCAGGCTGATACTCATAGCTGTTTTAATTTCCAGTGTCAAAACAAATATTTCAGCAGTTGATGAAAACATTTCCCTGTATCAATTTTACAAAACCAAATACAGTTGCATCCCTTTATGACGTGATGGATTGGGTCCATAAAATCAGACAGGTCATCGTGTAATACAGAGGTTGATCAGCCTTTCTAGGTCATCAGGTTGCTGATGATGGCTGCTGGTATCACCAAACAGTGGTGTGTGCAGGAAGCTGACAATCACTTTCGCAAGCGTTTCCGCAGTTTGCTAAGACAATTGGAGGCCTTCACACTAGAAGTGTCCCAGTAGATGATAGGTCCACTGCACCCATACTACAAACAAATCTTGCTATATAATGGGGTCTGTTTACAGTAACAGTATCAGGCAGAGTTAGACCATATCATTAGTCCATCTAGTCTGCCATTCCAATTTCCCCAGATTCTTCTGACAAGTTTTTCTTTCACTAGATCTATTTAGTTGGGTGGGAAAGTGTTCCATGCAAGAAGTGTGTTCATGATATTGAAAGAATCAGTGTTTAAATTTAAAACCTTGGAACAGTGGCATGATGGAACAACGATCAAATGTGAAGCTGGAGTAGTGTATGAGCATTTGCTTGTGATCAACTGATATAGCCTTGAAATGTACACACTTGAGGCCTTTTATCTCACACAATGTGTATAAATTTTATTGGGAATTTTTATTCTTTGATTAGTTTTAATGCTGGGAAATATACCGTGGAGTTCATTGGAGACTGGAAGCGTAAAGAGTCAATGGGAATGGATTTCTTGTCAATGGCTTGTAATGTTATAATGCATCTTGAAACCCACAGTGTGCAAATGTAGGAACAGATAACATTAACGTTATGCAACTACTTTCAGATGAATGCAATTTTTCTTTAATTGAGAGTTCTGGCTTTGAGCAGAGCTAAGTGAAAATGTTCAGCAGCCTTAAACTATTCGAATCTCATTCTAAAAGCAAATTGTACCTGTGTCTTTATATTTGAAAAAAGAATGAGCTGAAAGAGGAATCAGTCATGCCTGAAAGTCAGACAGAAATTCAATTGGTAGTTACATTGTGAATATAAATTGCTCTCATTGTTCGGTACATCCAGCTCCCTCAGCACATTGAAAGATGAGCTTTGTCTTTCAGCTGGTTTGATAACTTCACTGTTGCCAACACTTTTGTGCTGCATTTATTGTGCCCTGCACATGATGTTGTTTTGACCATTTTTTGTTGAGTGAGCATACCAGTGTGTAGCAAAAGCTTGGTTCGTTCATTTTAAATGTACAAATTTTGCATTTTGCACATTAAAACAAAAATCACATCAATGAAATAATTGTGCTTCCAGCTCTGTCCGCACATTGAAGACAAGATTTGGATTAAAAAATATGCTATTTTTGACCATGGAAATGTAGTAAATATGATGATAGGCTTGAGCAGAGCAGCCCAAGCTATAACTAATTGTGACAGTACTAGTGCAAGTTACTGTGGAAATCAGCATGTTGTGATTTTATTTTTTAAAGAAAGAAGTTTCTGGACACTTCTAACATATTAATAGCTTTCGCAAGCTACTGGTGGTATAGTAGGTCAGCGGGCTGTTCTCTCACCAGTGGGGCCTCCTTCTTTCAAACCTCGGCCAGATTAATGGTCTGGAAATATCCTCTGCCAGCTGCAATGTTTCTAAAATCTGCTATTATTTGTTTTAAAAAAATCCGCTTTGACTGTTATCCTTTATGGAAAACTGTGAGCTATTGTTAACATAATCCCCAGGTTTTAATCCAGATCTCTTTCACGGCCACTGAATGGGTCTTATTTGTAACCTTCGACTTCTACCACTTTCATTGGCAGTGTGGGGTGGGATTCACTAGTTGACGTTGTGATATTTTTTCAGTTCCAGCTAAACATTATTTACTTTTGTTACTTTCCAACAGTACTCGGTTTCTAAGGAATTCAATCAGCGTAATATTCTTAGTTTTGTTGTGTGCATGTATTTTCCTGTCTATGGGTGAATTTTTAATCTCTGCATGCATCTGTGACAGTTTAGCACTGTAGTAGGCTTTCAAATGGAAAATGGTATACTTTAATGTGAGCTGTAATCTTTAGATTGCAAAGGTTCTATTAGTACAGGTTTTGTTCACAGTTAACAGATTAAGAGATTTTAACAGTTTGATGTTCAGCAATATAAAATTCTTAACACAGTACTTAAATTTCAAAATAATTATTTTATGACTATTTTGCTATTTTATTTTCAGATACTTGGAATTTTCAGTCGTGTCTGTTTCTTTTCCAGATTCAAAGATTTGAATTCTAAGTAACCTCCACATAGACACAAATTTAAAAGATGCTGAAATGTTCTCAAGAAACTAACTAGGAAACTCAGTTAAAGAAACATTATGTTCTAGCATGGCCTAAGCTTGGCTTTCCTATATAAACATGCCTTTGAATTACATTGAGGACAATTGTGGGTCATTGCTGTAACAAATGGAAAATAAAAACATAAACGGGGTAGAGAAGCAAAGGGACCTAGGGATACACATACACAATTCACGAAAAGTAGCAACGCAGCTTAATAAGGCCATAAAAAAGCAAACCAGGCATTGGGGCTCGTTTCTAGAGGAATAGAAATGAAAAGCAGGGAAGTTATGGTAAACTGCTATAGAAACTTTGGTTAGACCACACTTAGAATACTGTGTGCAG